TCATTTACCCAATCCGACCTTATCGGACCTGTACCATAATTCAGGTACACCTGTGCGTTGAAAATGGCAACAACGATCCCGTGAGGTACCGCTGTATGAGCTTACATGTGAGCGCGTTAGGCAAGCCCAAGACGTGCATCAATGGTTAAAAAAATTATACTTATCAAGTAATATCCACTTAATATGAGACTACGGCGAACAAAATGTTACTTACGCGCATCGAGATAATCGACTTTAAAGTTGACCAATCACAAATCGTACATATCCGAACATCGAAATTTTGAAAGTGAAAGTTACTCGTAGAAAGCGGAAAAGACTTTAATGCGATTGCTTTGAACGAGAGCTTTCTGATAATGTACGCTAAGCAAATTTTGAGAAAGAATTGAAGTCACTATCGTTCAAAACGTGGTAGGATTTTGACCCTTCCCAAATGGGGATAGTTTTTTCAAGTGCCGACAACTCCTCGAATTTTCAACATTTCGATGCAAACAAGGGCTCAAATGTGCGCAAGATACTAAATCGCGATTCGTACTTAGGTTCGTAAGTAATTTTTTGTTTGCCGCCGTCTCTATTATATAAACGTTAAACTAATAATGTGGCAACGTGGTAGCCATCGTGCAGCCCGCACGACAGCAGTTGCTGGCAGCGACTCCAGCGGGCGGCATACCTCCCGCCCTGCCGGGTACGGCCACAACACTCGCGGGGTCTTCATAGGCTTGAGCGGCGGTGGCAGCGGCTACTGTTGACCGGGGGGGGGGGGGGTTCCGAAGGCGCGTCCTGACCCTTGCAGTCGCTCACCCAACGGGTAGCCTGCCGGCCGCCCTGCCGTGGGCGAATTGACCGCAACAAGCGGACCCCTCGGACACTTGGCCCCCATTTCCCCCGCAGAGGTGACCCAAGTGACTCGCTCGCCGGCTTCCTCCTTCCACCTCTTCATCCAAAACGTCGATGGACACGAGCACACTCACCACGTGAACCGACTGTCGGTGGTTGAGTCTGTGGACTCGGAGCCGCGCAAGCCTGACAAGACACGAGCCAAGTGCTGCAGCAACCTGAGCTTCGAGAACCCCTGGGTCCAAAAGGTGCGGCTAAAGTAGCAGCAGGTTCGACGTTCACGTCCCATGTGCTAATGAAAAAGTGTCGTGGTGGCTGACGACAGATCACAGCTCTGGCGGTCGGTGTCCCGGGCGGCATCCTGGGCGTACTGCCCGCTGTGGTGCTCAACAACTGGCTCAAGTCGACCGCCTACCTCGGGTCCTTCTGCATCGCCTCCATCATCACAATGGGAGGCTTTGCCGCGCTGTACGGGGAAGTGACCGGTCGACTCGGGGGCAGTTCACTCGTGATGGACCTGCGGGTCGGCTTCATCTCGGCCTCCTTCTCCTTTGTCGTGGGCATCGTTTTCCAGGCCACGGGCCTCATGAGCGTCATCTTTGGCGAGTAACAGGGCACTGTCCACAGAGAGCATTGCATTCGTCCCCCACAGTCTCACTTGACTCACTTCACTTCAACATGAAGCCAACGGCCCGAGAGTCAGCTCGCTTTTGGACCGGCTACTGATGCGCTGCCGCCATTCGATTGGCTGGCGATCGCAATCAGCAGCATGCAACGTCGTATTTTAATTCAGTAATCTGCCCGAGTAAGGAACGCCTGATATATATAAAGACGCAGGATATAAAATTGATGTTAAGTTGAGTATACTTTCCAATGTACTGATTTAGTTATTTCAAAATGAACGGAAGAGCAGCTTTACCTACGAGTCCGGAATGATTCCAACAGTGGCGTATGGTCGAAGCACTAACCTTTGACCAGGCATCCTCGCACCACAACAGCGCTGTCAACTGGTCGACCTCGTAGGGATTATCTAGCCCTTCACCAAGCCGGTCTAGAGCCTGCATCATCTTGCGGGATAGAATGTGTCGCTTAATACAATGAATGATTCCTTGGTCCTTCTCCAGCGGCCGCCCCAGCAGGACTGCACTTGACTTGATTATGCTGCATATCGTTGTCTTGCCTGGGGCGGCCGGGAGGCTGAACTCCGTCGCAGCCCACTCAGCCAGGCCCCTGTAGGAGAGAGCAGGTGTGCGGGCCGCCTTGTCGAGGATGCCCACTTTCTCAGACCAAGTGAGGCGGAGACACTTGGACGGTGTGGACTTCATGGGTGGAGTGGGGGAGGAGGTGGGCTTGTGGGGCGAGGTGCAAAAGCAAAAGTGCGAGTCTACCACGGTACATGTAGTTTGAAGTCTAGTAAGATCGCTAAATACGCGCCATTTTTCAAACGAGGGTGGAGAGCTGATGATTGGCACTGGAATTTTCACCTTAGAACCTCAGTACCTTGCAGTACCTTGCACATCCCCCTATCGCCACATTGACTGGAAAATAATATTAAATATGTGAGGCTATTAGTTGTACACCCGTTCCTTATTCGGGCAGAATTCTGTACCTACTATTATTGTGCTTTGCAGTTATTTTGCCGACCATTTTAGACGCTAAATATGGCAAAGCCTGCTCCTAAATATGTGTGAAAGAAGATACACGACCTGCTAAAATTATGCATAAACCCACCTCCTCATATATATATCGACTTGGGAGGGCCTGTCAGCAGCCATGCATTGGCACCGTCCAGGATCACCAGCACATCCACCCTCTTATGCATAATTGCCGTGTGTGTAGGGGCTTGTGGATAAAAACCGACAGAATTGCAGCTGCACAGCCACAATTGCACTTTCAATTGTGGCGCTTTTAGCGTAATTCTAGGCCTCCACCCATATATGCACCTCGATTTATCGTAAATCTAGCAAGTGGTCGCTATAAATACAGCAAATCTCGCCTCATATTGCCAGAATCATTGCAAAGCACAATAAAATAGCACATCCTGGTACGGGTTGGGGTGACGCCCTCCCGGGGAGCGGCGCCGCGGCGTCGTTCTCGGGGGCGCTAATGCGGCTCCGCCGCGGCGCCCTCAGTTCTTAGACGGACAAGGATGTGAGGCTAGTGTCTCTGGGCTGAGAGCTCGACGCGGGTACGACTCGCGGCGGTGGTAGCGGCCGAACCAAGCCCGCTCAGTGATCAGCCACCGAATTCCTGTGGGTTGATGACTACGGCATCGCCCAGGAAGCTGATTCGGCGGCGAGGCGCGAGCGCTCGCGAGGGGGGGGGACTGCTGCAGCCGCCAATCGTCAAGGGAAGGTGCTCAAGGGGATCAGCATAATGCGCAGGAACAACACAAGACCGAACAACAAGGCCGTGCTGGCTGAGACTGCGTGGTTTGTTGCGGCCACGACAGCAGTTGCCGGGGAAAGGAGTTGTGACCCGAGTACCTAGCTGAACCAAGACTACAAGACCGATACGGGTGACGGAAGCACCAAACATGCCGCCACCAAGGCCTAGCGCGTCTCCGCGAAGGGGGAGCCATTCATTGCCGACGTATAGGCCTTTCAACGTTACGATGTGTCGTTATAGAATACTGTTAAAAACCTCATGTTATCGCTAAAAGCTATCGCAAAGATACCGTTATTTGACCGCGACGTTTGAGCCGTGGGGGGCATGGCGATCACCATTGCGCGAAATCCTGAGAGCGGCACATCTTGAAAGGAAGTCGGGCTGCTATGGATCCGAGGCGACCATCGGCATCATTCGTTTGGGATCTTGGTGGCGCACCACATGAAGCAAGCCACCAGCTAGAAGACGAGCGACCTACCGTGGGTTTAGCACCGCCATACTATATTCAGAGCGAAGGCAGGCATCGGGAAGCTGTCGTGGGACGTACATTCAGTACTTCATTCATGCGGAGCCCTCCAATTCGAGCCCGGCTTACGTACCAAGACGAAGAAGACCGCTACAGCGGCATGGAAGCGACCATCGGGTTCGATAGTAACTTGGACGATCAAGCATCGGTCCAAGACCAGAATCGTGCTTCTAAGAATCTAAATCAAGTCCACGGGGATTCGCGGAGCCCGTTGGTGTTTAGTGTCGTTGTTCCTAGGCGCTCGCCACGCAAGCAGCAAGCCTCCACCCAGAGTTGCGAGCAACGCAAGCGCCGGATCGGAGACTCGAGAGCTGCAGCAACTTTCAAGATGCCGTATACTCTCCGGCGGATTCCAACAAGCGAATTGCTACACGTTCTAACAGTGCCACCCGTAGTCGCCGCACAAGTACACCAAGCGGTACCCAGCAAGAGCGCCCGAAGACACCGAATAGCGCGCAGCAAGGGCGCAATGGAAAGCCACCCCTTACTTCTCAGCTAAATCGCAGTTTGCAGTCGCCCAGCAGCGATCAAAGAGGGTGCCCTCCAACCGGCAAGTCGCCGAACGCAGCTCCGAGGAGGCGTAGCGGCAAGTCACCCAACAGCGCGCAACGAGCTCGAGTGGGAAGTCGCCAAGCACGGCGCAACGCAGAGACCGCGGCAAGACAACAAGCTCTGTACGGCGCGGACAAGAAAGCACCCTGTCTGCTCCTTCGGCGCCGGCAACAAGTGCCGAAATAGTGCTGTTCGAAATGCACAAAAAGCGCAAGCCCGAGCACTGGCGGTTTATTCAGCTCGCCTGCAAAAATGAGTATATCGGGATGAATATCAAGGACCTACGATCGGAGCATGCTAGGTGTGCATACTGCAACAAGTGCGGAGAAGAAATTGTTTTCGAGAAGTCCAACACCGCCTATGTCACCAGGCACATGAAAAAGAAGCACCCGAAAGAACTCAAGAAAGCAGCCGAAGAGGAGAAAGCGCGCAAGCAAACTTAATCCAGCCGCTGATGCACCAAGAAGTGGGGGCACTCAGAAAACCGGTCGCTGTACTAAGTCGATGAGACCGTTCACCATTTCGATGGATAAGTACTTTCGCAAGTATGCCCGCTACCTCAACACTTTGCAAAAGCGCATCAAAATCATCAAGCCTTGGAAAGCACGTGCTGGAGTTGAAGTGGTTGCTGCCCAGCTTCGTGATGTTCTCAAGGAGAAGATTGCTGTCTAGTGCATTTTTTCTTAGCATCAGCCGACATTTGGACGTCCAAACGTAAGCTTGGGCTCATCTGCTTCACACTCCATTAATTGGATGAGGAGTTTCGTATGTGGAGCTGGGTGCTCGAGGTACGGTACTTGCCAGGGAAGCACGATGGATACCGGATTGCCGAATCGTTGCGAGCAATTATGAATGAATGGGGGCTTCCTATTGAAAAGTGCGTGAAGTTTCTTCGGGACGGTGCGTCAAATGGAGTGAAGTCGTGCGAGCTGTTGAACCTCGACTCCATGTCGTGCTTGGCTCATTCTCTGCATCTCATCGTTGGGTGTGAAATGGTCAAGAAGAAATCGGACAAGACCTCAAAAGCGATGATGGCTGCTGCCAAATCCGACGAAGACATTGATGCTGCCCTTGAGCAAGTTGCCTGTGAGGAAATTGAGGCGTTTATCGAGGGGTCGTGCGCAGCGACTCGGGCTGACTTGGATAAGCTACGTCGCGTCGTGGAAATATTTCGCAAGCTTGCCGTGTTTTTCAGCCGTTCCGTGAAAGTATTGGATTGCTTACGAGGGCTTCAAACCAGAGTGCTTGTTCCTCAAACCGATTGTGCCACGGGTTGGAATAGCACGCATGCCATGCTACTGCGCATGCTGGAACTTCGAACTGCTCTTGACGATTTTTTTGGACACGTCGCTAGGACGCGTGAGTTTTCAGACGCAAAATTTAAACAACCAACAGCTGAACATTGGCTTGTCATCCGATGTTTAGTTGTCTTGCTTGAACCATTCGCTGAACCAACCGACGGTTTAGGTGGGGAGAAGTACCCCACACTGGTTATGGCTGTACCCGTTCTCCGCACAATCGAAAGGAAGATCAAAGACGAAGAAATGTTCGAGGCGATCATGCGTTCCGTCGGCAATGAAGCGTTCGTTCCGCGAGTGAAGACGTTGATGCAGTCCGTTCGGCGTACGTACGTCACGCTTTTCACAGAAAGGTTCAAGAAGAAACTACCTATGGAGCTGTTGTGGATTTCAGCACTGGATCCAAGATCGGCGGAGCTCAAGCATCTAAACCACGAAGAGGCTAAAACGGCTATTGCTCACCTCAAAGCGGCTGTGTTTGAGATGGGAAATGATATGAGAGCCACCCAATCCACCAGTGAAGAAGACACGAGGGTGGCGAAGGATTCCTCGCGACCGCCATCGGCTGCAAAAAAGAATGTAGCTTGGCTTACAGAAGTGTTCAGCGGAGGGACGGAGCAGTATGTGGAGGAAGCGCCCACCGTGGCGGATGATAAGCTGAAAGATAAGTGCGACTCTCAGGTTCGACAGTACCTGGGCGATGCACATGGAACTCGAGTGACTACTGATGCTCTACAGTGGTGGTCAACGCGGCGAGGGAAGTACCCGATCGTGGAGGCCCTAGCTCGGAAATAGTTAGGATGTATTGCAACTTCTGTGCCATCGGAGCGTGCGTTCTCCAAGAGTGGGAATGTAGTTACCTCGAAGCGATGCTCGTTGGACCCTGAGATCATTCGCGACACGTTGTTCGTCAGTGAAAATTATGAAGAGGACGATGACAACATTGATAGCAGTTCCGAAGAAGAAGACGACGACGACGACGAAGAAGGAAACAACGACAATGGAGGAGGAGACGGCGGTGATGTTGATGGGTAGTTGACCCTAGTGTATAGCATTGAAATAGCTGATGTTTCACATTGCAAATATATTTGACACTCATGATCGGAGTATTGTACTGTCAGATTGGCTTTTACTGCACCCGCTTCGCTTAGCACTCTAATGCACGACCTCTTCCCCGTAGTTGATCATTGCTTGTTCATTTAAAGCGTCTTAGCTCCCTTGCCCGCTGCATGTTGTTACGTGTTGTCACGTCCGCCGCCCGACGCTCTAGGACTCCCGATGTTGGAGAAGCTGCAGTTTGCGAAGTCCAGCACCACCGCCACAATGATGCCGAACTGCACCGTGGGGTGCCACAACGACTCGAATGATGGGGAAGCCGAGAGCTGGCTTCCTCTCGTCGTCGCTGCTGCCAAGTCTTCGTCCAGCGGCAGCTTCTGCAACTGCTCCTGCTTCTCCTTCTGGCTGTCCTCCTCGAACACCTTCGTCATCCCAGTAACCTCCACGTCCACCGATTCGAGGTCAATGGGGTGCCGTTTGGTGGGCGTCAACAAGTCCGTCTGCGCGGGCGTGAGCTTGGGCTCGACGTTGTTCTCAGGGGACTTGTTGCTTCTGGAGGACCACAAGTTCTTGATACTGGACCTCCTCCGTCTTTAGCTGCTGCTGCTGCTTCTCCGTCGTATTCTTTGCGGCGGCAGCGGCGTTCACGGTGGGCACGAGACTCACATTGATCATGCCGAGGTACTTAGTAGCTACATAGCGTCCGCAGCATGCCAATTCTGGTCACCCCCGCCCTGGTAGGACACGAGCTGCGCCACGCACGCGGAGAAGACGCCCGTCAAGAGGAAGAAATCCTAGTCCAATAGCTTGAGCAGCGCCGTACTGATATCGGCCGCCGATACGGCCTTGGCCACTTTGCGCAGCTCTTCGCCGTAGAGTCTACGGTGACTGCACTATCGACACCAACCTTTATATCCAATCAGCAGCAGATATTTGTATGATCTTAGCTAATGAAAAAAATGAATTTATCACCAATCAGAGGCGATTTGTCGTTATCTGTCGCTATCGCTTCGCTAACAGCCAGATAACGACTGTTGTTGGCAAGTCAGATAACAGCTAACGTTGAAAGGCCTACGAGTGCCGACGTATGCTGATCGTGCCGGAGAAGACAGTAGGAGCTCAATTAGTGGCCGCCCACTATTGGGGTTAGTGGTGCAGACCACGCTTGGAGAGTGTAGATCACTTCTTCCCTAAAGCGTAAGGCGCACTAACGTTTACAATACAATACAATAAAATAGCACCTTCTCATTCGAGTGTGGCTTTCTCAGTCGGAGCAAGCAAAGAAAGGGCAGAGGTCGGTCAAAACATGCCCAAATCCCATCAAGGAGTGCCGAGACTTGTAGCGCTGTAGCTCCGCCATGGCACCTTACCAGCCGGTACATCCATGTCTCCCTTAAAGTAGAGATCCTTACGCACTAGTAGGTGGTCTCCATGTTCGCTAAGGGTGCCTACAACGCGCTCAAATGCCATTATTCTGGGGGCCTTTTGCGAGGAGCGAGGCCTGTGCAAAGGCGGCCACCCCATCCCAGGATAGCCCAATAAAAAATCAAGATATTGAGAAAGCACAACTATCTAGTTGTAGTTCGCAGTTCGTAAGAACTGTGTTTTGAGGGGGTGTCACGCGTCTATAAACCCCGCTAGAATGACGTTGAATCTCTACAATAGTGACATGCAACGTCAACTTCAATCATGGTCGCAACCCCTCACTCGACCTGCGCTACCATTCAACGTCAACTTCAAGCATGCATGAAAGCCTACCGCGAGTATGCCAGTGCATGCATTAGTATTGGTGTCATTCCCGCAGGCTTTAGATACCATGCATTAGTTCAGCACGGAAAATATAAAATCCAAAACGTTGGTCATAAACTAAACAAGGCAGTATATTACAAAGCCATAGAATATGTTTAATTGTTCATTTTAACAAGAGTACGAGCGTGGTAGTCCATTGCAACATTTGTGGAAAACTTATGTACCGATAGTTCAACCAACATTTCTAAAGTGTCACTACACTTTCAACCTCACAGCGCTGCATTTATACTTGAACTTTTCCTCACGATGAGGACAGGTGAACTCTACATACCTGAATGCTCTCGTCGACTCGAACACCTTCGCCTAAATTGCTGGATACCATGCTCGGGTAATTCCTTGAGCATGATTTTAGCTTTAACAACCTTGTTTACCGCTCAAAATTACAACATCGCGCACCCTCGTTACTGTTGTTGTCCAAGTAAGTGATGACGCCCGGGTAGGTCAGCATCGTTCGAACTACATGGTACTCATACGAGATTTTGAGTGGCAATCATTTCACAATATCCGGTTGTAACTATTTGGCTGTTGCATCTACCCTATGAGTGTTGTAACATCGTTTTATGTTGCTCTTTAGGCAAACATTAAACATAAAGCAACGGGCCACGATACTTTACTGCATTTAATGTTCGTCCTTCTATATTACCGGTGGTAGTGTAGGATGTCACGCTCCACAACAACTTTTACACAGCGGAAACCAGCATGTTGGTTTGTAGCTTGTGATTGAGGGAGCAAATTCCGAAGTGAGATTAAATGTTATCGTCTCTCAAACTACTCTCTAGTCTTCCCCTCCTGCTTTCCTTCTTGTTCTCCTTGTGCTCGTTGGTGCCTCTCATCAGACGGATTACTCCCGGGTTCCGATTGACTTGATCTCAGTATTCTTAGGTCTCCCTGACCAGCCATTGGTATATCCAGAGCCCGGCTGCCGCCGGCTCTCCCGTCGCCGTCGGATCCTCCGAGTCATCGGCGGATGTGTCCACACGTTCTCCTCGTCCATGTGCATCTATTGGCGGTGCTTCCGAAGACTCATGAACACTCCCACTCGCCGCTAATGCTGCACGACCGTCCCGACGATTTCGCTTGCGCTGATCAGGTACTTGAGCCTCTTCGTCCCCAACGCCTTGGTAAGCATGTCCGCGAGCTGGTCCTCCGTCGGCACGTAGTTGACGACGATGAGTCCTCGGGACACATTCTCGCGGATGAAGTGATGCTTGATGTCCACGTGCTTGGTCCTCGCGTTGTACCCAGCGTTGCTTGCGAGGGCGATCGCGCCCTGGTTGTCCTCCCATACTTGGGTAGCTCCCACTTGCTCGTGACCCATGTCCTTGAGCATGGCGCGGGTCCACAGCACCTCCTGCGTGCACAGGCTCAGCGCCATGTACTCAGCCTCCGCCGAGCTGAGCGCCACCGTGCGCTGGTACTTCGACTTGAAGACCACCGGCGCCCCGCTAATCATCACCATGATGCCCGACACCGAGCGTCGGTCGTCGAGATTGCTGCCCCAGTCGGCGTCGGTGTACGCCGCCACCTCGACCTTCTTCGCGTTCCCATTGTAGGCGATGCCGATGTCTTGGGTGCTCTTCAGGTACCTGAGCACGCGGATGGCAGCCTTCCAGTGCTGCTGCCCGGGGTTCTCAAGGAAGCGCGACAACTGGGTCACGATGTACGCCACATCAGGTCTGGTGCAAGTTGTAATGTACAACAAACAGCCAATGAGTGCTCGGTAGGACTTCGCCTGCATTTCCTCGCGTTCCTTCTGAGTCGTCGGCGACGGAGTCTTCGACAACTTCATGCCCGACTCGCACGGGTTCACCACCACCTTGGCGTCCTGCTGGTTGAACCGCTTCACCACATCATCAATGTATCGAGTCTGCTTGATCATGAGAGTCTTCGCCGATGAGTCATGGTCGATCTCCATACCAAGTATAAACTTGGCTTCGCCCAACTCCTTCATCTTAACCGCATTCTTGAGCGCCACGTTGACTTCCTGGATCTCGTTGCTCGTCTTGGCCGCGATGATCATGTCGTCCACGTACAGGCAGACATATACGAACCTGCCCTTCTCGCCCTTGACGTATACGCACTGGTCGCCACCGCAGCTCCGAAATCCGATGCCCCCGAAGACTCGGTGGATGGTCTTATGCCAGGCATTTGCCGCCTGCTTCAGACCATAGATCGCCTTCTGCAGCCGACACATCATGTTCTTCGCGTTGATGATTCCGTAGGGCACCTCCATGTAGACGCGCTCCACCAGCCCGCTGTTGAGAAAGGCGGTGTCCGCATCCAGCTGCTCGGTGATGTACGCCTCGGCCACCACAACCGACAACACCACTCGGATCGAGTTCATGTTGGCCACGGGCGAGTACGTCTCGAAGAAGTCCACGCCAAACTTCTGCTTAAACCCTTTCGCCACCAGGCGGGCCTTATACCTGATGACTCGGCCGTGCTCGTCGCGTTTCTTTGCGAACACCCAGCGACAACCGATCGGTCGAGCACTCGGTGTCCGACGGACCAGCGTCCATGATCCGTTGTCCGCGTGTGCCTTGAGCTCCGCGTTCATTGCCTTCACTCACTCCGACGACTCGTCACTCTGTATGGCCTGCTGATACGTGGTGGGTGCGTCATTGGCATCGCCGACGTCTGCGTCGTAGGCCAGCACCGCCTCAGCCAATAGGCTGTTTTCTTCCACCCTGGGTCGCTTCGGAGACGGTGGCCAGAAGTGATCGTCGTTGTCCGAGTCATCGGGACCATCTTCTTTCGGCTCCTCACCGTCTGCGGAACTATCTCCAAGTAGTAGTACCGGTTCTCGGGCACGCTGGGTCCGTTCCGGCTCCGGATGGAAGACCATATCATCATTAAATACCGGTCTCGCGAGTCGTCGGTACGTGGTCAGCTCCTGCATGGATGGCTCCGGCGTCTCCGCCTCATGCATTTCCGCGCCCTCGACGGTCTCTTCCACCGATTCCATCGGCTCGTCGGCGGCAGGTCGTTGCATCTCCTCGTGCAGCGCCACTTCATCGTCGACATCTTCCGTCGACTGAATGATAGGCGAGTTCTCGCTGGGCGACGTGTCGTAGATGCCGTTCACCTCGCGCTCGTCCAGCTTCACCGACCTGGACACCTTCACCTTGTTCGACTCCAAGTCGTACACTCGGTAGCTTTTTGAGTCGTCGGCGTACCCAAGAAACATACATTTGAAGCTCTTCGGCTCCAACTTAGTGCGTCGCGACTTGTCGACATGGGCGTAACCAATCGACCCTCGAAGATGGTCCAGCCGAGGCTTCGACTTGAACGTCAACTCGTACGGAGTCTTGGTCGGGTGCATGCTGTTCGTCGACCGGTTGATCAGGTAGACAGCAGTGCTGACCGCCTCTGCCCACCATATCGAAGCCACGCCCTTGTAGTGTAGCATGCTTCGAGTCTTCTCCCTGATCGTGCGGTTCATCCGCTCCGCCACGCCATTCTGCTGGAGGCTATACGGGACCGTCTTCTGATGCATAATCCCATTCACCGGCAGATCTCAGTCATCGGCGTGTTCACGAACTCAGTGCCGTTGTCCGAGCGCAGGCATTTAATGCGCTGCCCCCACTGGTTCTCGTACAGCTTCATGAACGACTTGAACTTGGCCACGACCTCGCTCTTCTTGGTCAAGAAGTACGCCACGACGTGTCGCGAGTAGTCGTCGACAAAGGTGAGCACATACCTCGCTCCGCCCTTGGACTTCGTCTTCATAGGACCCATCACGTCCGTATGAACCAGTTCCAGCGGTCGAGTCGTCGCCGACGTCGACCGCGACGGGAAATGTGCGACCGTTTGCTTGCCCTTCATGCATCCTCCGCACAGGGTCTTCGTCTGCTGTTGAGTCGTCGGGATTCCGTCCGTCGCCTCGCGGGTCTTCGCCATAGCGTCTCCGTTCAAGTGTCCCATACGAGCGTGCCATAGCTCCCACTTTCTGTCGACTCCCGAGTACTCGGTGTAGTGCGCCATGTCCTGCTGGCAGCCCAGCAAGTACGCCTTGCCGACCTTCTTCCCCGAAGCGATCACCTTCGTCTTGTCCCAGATGACGCACGACTTCCGCTGGAACTCGACACTCATGCCGCGTTCAGCCAACCTCCCAACCGAGAGTAGTCGCCGGTCGAGTCCGGGGATGTGGAGCACCTCCACCATCTTGATGCGCTTGCCGTCGATGCCCGTTAGGCGAACCGACCCTTTCCCTGCCACGCGGATCTTCTTCCCGTCCGCGATTGTCACATACATGTCCGCCGACGACTCGTTGTACTCGAACAAATCATCGCGGTGAGGCGTCATGTGAGCCGTCGCCCCACTATCGATCAGCCAACCCGCTGATGGATTCTCCGCCACAGCGAACACCGAGTCTTCGGCGGTGTCTCCATTTGCTTTTTCCGGGCAGTCCCGCTTCATGTGGTCCACTTGGTCACAGTTGAAGCCACCGACCTTTCGACCGCCGATGCGCTTGCGGCGGAATGCCTTGCCGCCCTTGCCGAACTTCCCGTTCTGGCCCCTACCTCCGAACGAGGTAGCCTTCAACGCGCGCTCCGAGGTCTCCTTCTTCTCCTGTCGCTCGTACTCCTTGAGCAGCTTCTCCTTCACCTCGATGAGGGTCACGTCCTTCGAGTTCTCGACGATGGATGCGATCAACTCGTACTCCGCCAGCAAGCTGCTCAGCAGGATGACGAGTTGTCGGGAGTCATCGAGCGGCTCTCCAAGCGTCTGGAGGCCCACGATGAGCTCGTCGTACTTGTCCAGGTGCTTCGCCATCGTCGCACCGTCCTCCATCTTGAACTCGTGGAGCCGACGAGTCATCGTGACCCGATTATGCATCGTCGTCCGGTTGTAGAACTCGCGTAGAGTATTCCAGGCTTGGATAGCCGACGTCGCCGACCGAATTTTCGTGTGGTGTTCCACAGCCACGCCTTGAGCGATCAGACTGAGCGCCTTCATGTCGTTGAGCATCCAGGCCTCCGTCATCTCCGTCGGGTCCTTCACCACTTGAACGTGCGCCAGCAGCCCCTTCCTCGCGAGCGTCATACGCATCGCGAACTCCCAGTGGAAGTAATTGTCGCTTCCCAGGATGACTTCGGCCTTCTTGCTGGACGCCGTCATGTCGGTCGTCGGGGAGGGCTTGAGCTTGTTGCGGCTGTTAACCTGTTGGTTTGTAGCTTGTGGTTGATGGGGCAAATACCGAAGTGAGATTAAATGTTATCGTCTCTCAAACTACTCTCTAGTCTTCCCCTCCTGCTTTCCTTCTTGTTCTCCTTGTGCTCGTTGGTGCCTCTCATCAGACGGATTACTCCCGGGCTCCGATTGACTTGATCTCAGTATTCTTAGGTCTCCCTGACCAGCCATTGGTATATCCAGAGCCCGGCTGCCGCCGGCTCTCCCGTCACCGTCGGATCCTCCGAGTCATCGGCGGATGTGTCCACACGTTCTCCTCGTCCTTGTGCATCTATTGGCGGTGCTCCCGAAGACTCATGAACACAGCACAATACTGTTTCGACCGATCCTACATAGCCCAGTAGAAATGATCAAGCCGTCGCCAACTGTTTGTGCTTCTTCCAATTCCAGTTTCATTATCAATGCTCCCCGAAATTATCTTATTTTTTTGCCAATCTTTATGTAGAATGGGCCTCGTTCGGCACATAATCGTTTTTTTTCACTTTATTTCTGTCGCCAACATAACTGAAATGTTGAGCAAAATCGCTGGAGCTTTCATATCTTGTTCGCTTCTTACCACTTATTTTTTCCTAACGACTGCACATATCATGTAGCGTCATATTTCCCGTTGCTGCCTTCACGAATGAGGCTACAAATAAATGTTTAGAGCACCTCGAATTCCAGAGCTTCTTTGGGCGAGACTTTGTTGTTGGGATGCATAGATTATACGATTTTAATCCTTAGTTGAGCTTTTTTTTACGATTGCAGCTGTCTAAAGCATACATTTTCTGGATTTATCGTTATGATGACCATCAACTACCGGTATTGCAAGTTGCAATTTGCAACATTTAATCAGAGTATTGTTTCCTATCCGACTATAAGCAAGATCACCAAACTAACTAACAGTGAGTAGCCAGAATAGCTTTTAGCTATTTTGCATCTAGGATGGTAGAAATTTTATAATACTCGGGTCGGTAGGGCTTCACCTGGGTGAGCTCCTCGTTTGCACTGCCAATGTCGCCTCGCTCTGGCGGGCAAGGCGTCGGTAAAAATGTAGTAACTCTTACTTAGACATACCTACGCGCGGACCATTGCAGACCTCCGCTTCGCTGCCGTTGTAAACGGCGTCTCTGAGGCCTCTCTCGACAGTAATTGATCGTTCTACAACATTATATTTGACATTTTGTGCAGCCAGTGCTGCCTCACACGATCAATACTATGCGTGCGCAGCACTTTCGTTTAAAAAAACGAAGTTTTGCCATGTACGAACTGGGGTCACCCTGTGAAAAGGCCTTGGTTTCTGTTACTAAATGTCTCTGTCCTTCTCATTGGACGAGAAGGGGGATGCGAAGCGAAGCTTGGCAGTAAGGGTTAACCCTTTAGCTACATGTACCAGACAATTTCTTAAACTGCTAAGTAGTGTTCTCCATTTACCTGTAAGTTGATTTTAGTTCCCGCTTACTTCCCGGAAGTGAGGTAAATTTACAGGTAACTGAGTAAGTGTCGATTATCCTGGATAGTATGCTTCTCTATAATACATCAACTTGTCTGGACTAGTCACTCCCGCAAGACTTGCATTTTCCCTTCTGCGAGGAACCGATGCGAGTCAGGTAAATAGCAATGTCGAGCTTGGTAGGTGGCTCGTTGGAATGCATCCAAGAAAGAACGCGTTTTACCTTCCAGGGACGCAGACGCGCATGATAGTCGAGTCGTTCGGATGAGTATGTCTAAAGAGAACCTCTACAACGGACTGCGATATCTTAACTGGAAGACGAAGAACGAGGAGTGAAAGAGCAAACTGTTCGGACGGAGGATTGGAGGGAGGGCACACGCTTCGCTATTCCGGAGTCTTCTGATATTATTATCTCTAACTCCAATCACCGGTAACCTAAAAAAAGTTCCCGCTTACTTTCCGTAAATTAACCAGGGTAAGTCTTACCGGTAAGGGTAAGTGTGAACACTACTGCTAAGCTTGCTACTGCGGGTCGGTGGCTGAGTGAGGAGCACAGCAGCCTCTCGGGCGCGTCGCTGAGCAAGATAATCTCCACGGGCGCACAGGTGAGTTAGTTATGTGATACAGCGCAGCTGATCAATTTTAATCTTGATCTGGGAGATTAAAATCTCGTGCATATGGTCTCACTTGGCGCAGGTCCCGACCACTTGAGCGCTCAAGCAGCAATGACGACGGGCTCTTCGTGGCGGGCGTTCGCTCTGGGCATTCGCTGGAGCTGCGGCCACTCGATCGGGCTCGTGGTCATTGCGCTCATCTTCTTCGCTGCGGGGCAGACGGTGGACTTGGACGCCGTGGGCGGCTACCTCAACTACGCCGTGGGCTTCTTTATGACCGCGCTGGGCATTTGGGCGGCGGTTCACGTGCGGGAGAAGTACCAGACGCAGCTGAAGGAGGCCGTGTAGTCGGTCGTGAGCGCGGAAAGCGGGCGAGCTGAGAGCAACCGCGCGAGTCGGAGCAGCACTGGCGCCACGCCGACCAATTTGGTGGAGCTCATGCCGCTCTCGCAGCGACGAGTGTCGGGTGCCGCAGATTCTGCAATGCCAATGACGTACAGGAGCAGAATATGGAAGCAGCGTCGCCGTCTTCGCCGTTCCACTTGCAGATTAAAGAGGACGGGGCTTCGAGTGCTGCGGACGCCACAGGAACGGCGGTATCCCCGCGAGATAAGGCTTCAAAGCTGCACCCGCACAGCTGGACTTGATGTCGGAGTATGAGCTTCGAAAACCCTGCGACACAAAAGGTAGGTCTTGTGGCTCTACGTACCCGATGTGGCTCCGTTGGCAAACGCTCACATCATTCATTGCACATAATGGCTCTCCTCGTGGGGATCATTCACGGCTTCGCAGGACCTGGTGGAATTCTAGGCGTGCTGCCTGCTGTGGTCCTGAACGATTGGGCCGTCGCGTACCCCGGCTCCTTCTGTGTAGCGTCGATCTTCATCATGGGCGTGTTTGCGGCGCTTTACGGCGAAGTCACTGATCCGTGGGCGACCAGGACTTCTTCAGTATAATCATGGCGTTCCTGCCCACGCCCGTGTTCGCGCGCGAGATGCGGCGCCGCAACGCTAACGACCGACGGCCCCTCGAGTGCTGCGAGCACATGCACCCGGCGCTGGCCTCGGCGCTCAAGACCTTCTTCATCAAGAACGGCGTGGATCTGGACGCCGACACCAACACTGCCGGGGCTGACAGAGCGCAAGTCGGACGGGCCGGCAAGCTGGATAAAATCGTGGGGATGAACGAGCCTCGCGAACGCATCATGCAGGCCATTCGGCTGAGTGAAACAACGCCCGACGTGCCCGTCAAACCGCTGCTGCTAGAGGGCCCGCCTGGTACGGGCAAGAGCTTTTTGGCGACGTGCATCGCCGCCGAACTGCAGCGCGAGGTCGTGGAGATCAAGACGCACGACGTGCTGAGCCACCGACTCGGTGGAACCGAGTCCCAGGTCCGCGCGTACTTCGAGCGCGCTGCGCGGGTCAAGCCCTTGCCAGCGCTCGTGGTCATCAACGAGTTTGAAAGCTTGTGCCCGAAGCTAAAGGACTCGAGCGAAAGCTGGCACTCGACGCTGCGTCAGTGCTTCCTCACGCTCTTCGACGACACCATCGACCCCGCGTCCATGTTGTGCGGAGTCCGCGTGGTCCTGACGACCAACTTCGTAGACAACGTCGACCCCGCAGCCTTGAGCCGCATGGAGCGCATCCACATTCCGCTGCCGTCCGCGTCCGACCTCACGCTGCTCTTCCCCAAGCTCTGTCGCGAGCGCGTGCCGCAACTCGGCGTCCAGCGCGTAGATTGGGACTCTGTTGTCTCTGTTGGTCACGAACTGCTGTCTGTGCGTGGAGTTCAAGACGTGATCGCCAGTGTGGCGAGGAAGCAGCTTGCGTCTGACACTGCTGTGACCTCGAGCGACTTCGAGGCAGCAGTGTACGAAGTAGTCGGCGACGTCCAGCCAGAACCACTCAAGCGCGCCGACAAGTTCATCCGCGTGGATATCCCGCCCAAACGCGTGCGGTCCGCCAACCTGGCGTCGTGTGTCGCGCGATGCGGCTGGCGCTTTTCCAGCGCTCCGACTGCGGTATACCGACAGGTTTTCACGCTTGAAGAGGTCAATGCGACGTCGGCGTTTATCCTCCGTGAGGGTGTTTTCCGGTCGAGGATGCTACCGCGCACTGGTTAACCCACGCGCCGACCAAAGCCAGTGGAAGCCTTTCGACAAGTAAGAGGTGCGAACACGCTGGTCGCGTTTGTAGGCTCCATGACTATGCTGACTCGCTCTTTGGCTTGGTAAACTTGCAGGTCTTCGTGCGGTGCGTTGCCTCTGACGGTGATAAGATGGTGGCGGATGAAACGACCTCGATGTTCATCGAGTCGAGCGGGAACGCAGGCGTGCAGAGACTTGAGTGGACAAACACTGGAGCCCACCTAGCAGTGTACGAACGCGGGGCGTCGTCGGCTACTGTGTCGGCATGCCTCGCACCGCGGATGAAGCTGTTTGAAGCGGACTGTGTTTTCGTTGAGTCCAAAGCCAAAGCCGAGCTCAAGAACGCAGACCCCAAGTCGGTCTTGGTGCTCCGCACCGACGACGACTCGTACCTTGTGGGCAGTGATGCTGTTCAAGTGGTGGGAGGAGCGACTTTGGACACGGCGGATCGACTCGGCTACCGAGTCTTCCTGGCTGCAACAGCACCAACTGAGCTCGTTCCACCGCACGTTGCTGTCGCCTAACTTTCACCTCCTGACACGCCGGAGAACGCGGGTTTGAAGCGGCTTGTGATCGGCCAAAAGAGATTCATCGTGTGTTCAAACACGGCGACCACGGTCGGTTTGACTTTGCGCGCCAATAGCGTCTTCTACGCGGCGTTGGGCGTGGTCTACGTGCGCCAAACGCAGTTTAATGCCGCAGACATCGAGAACCTGCGCCGGCTTGGCCACAAAGTGCTGGCAGTGCCTTCAGACGGCCCCACGTCAGCTTGGAGCGGCCCTTCCATCGCCGACTGCGCTCGCGAGGCCAGTTTCCTCGCCCAATTCGACGTGTACACACCGTGCACCGGTCCGACTCAAGTGCTTGCGGCCGGAACGACTGTAATGCTCGACGTTGAGGTAAGCCATCGCAGTTTGATCTATTGACGGTGATGCACAGCTAACTAACCCTTACATTGTCGGTCATTTTCCAGGCTCTGTCGCAACCGCTTCTCGGCCGACAAGAAGTTTGTCATCCTTCGGTACTACCCGTCGGCGCAACTGGTGCCTCAGGAGCTGTCGACGCACCACGGCGCAGTCATCAACAAGTCGGGCGCACGGGTGCGTGACAAGGGCTACAACGACGATGTGTTCCTCAAAGGATACCGCAAGGGCTGGTATGAGGACGTCTACTGGCGCACGGTGGGCGACCACCCGAATCGGTTCCTCTCCGGCGGCGTGGACGGCAGCGATTACAAGTTTAACATCCGCAATGAACACGGCTTCGGCTTCGACAACCGCCGCATCATGGTCAAGTTGCCGGGAGATGGCGTCGTTTTCTGCCGAGGCGTGGACGGTGACGCAGGAAATCCCAAGATGGCGTGCGTTCTGTTCAATGCCGACGGGTCCGTGCGGGATGCAGAGGGGTACAAGGGTCTTCTCGGACGCTGGAGCGACATCGTCCAGTAAAAGGAGCTCTGATCAGCATGAACGCAGCATATACGTATTGTTTTCAATCACATTCATGTACATTTTAACCATTACATGAGAACAGAGTACGGCATCCATAGGAGCGCATTACAAGGAGCCTTCGCACGTGAATACCGTGCAATGGCCGATCTAATTGACGCTCTAGAAGAGCGACATGGCAGTGGCCGCCACCGTGGCCACCGACAGAACGAACGCCGCGGCAGACACCGTGGCACTGGCGCCGCTGCTTCCCGTGGTGGCGTCCGTAATGGACGCGCTGCTGCTCTCCTCGTTCGTGGGCGTTCGCTTCTCACCGACGGCGGCGCCCGTGGAGTGGTGCTCGTAGCTGTTGCCCTTGATGCCGTTGCAAACGGGCTGCGTGATGGTGCACTCCAGAACGGGGACTGCAAACAATGCACAGGATTGATAGGGTGAGTTCTCAAGCCCAAAGCTGCGGTCACACGAGTTGGCGGAGATAGCTTACCCTTGGGCGTAGGTGGCAGCTCGCTCGAAATGTTCTTCGAGCACTCCAGGATGGCGGTGCGCGTAGGCGTGTAGCTGTCGTGCTCGACGGTGGTGGTCGTGTACGCCTTCTTCAGGTTGTCGTAGTCCGGGTAGGGCGTGAAGACGCACTCGGTGAGCTCGTTGTCGCAGTCTTCCGGCATGAAGTAGCCAACGCCGTACTTGCCCGCGTCGCCGGTCTTGGTGAGGGCTGAAAGGGGTCAAATACAGATCAACCGTTAGTAAAAGGTTGGATGAAACATCAACTACTGAAACAGGACGCACTCTTGCTCTCGACCAGGTTAGCAATCTCCGTCGTGAACTCGAAGACGTTGCCGCCCACGATCTCGTCCGTCATCTCCTTCTCCTCGTTCATCCACTTGGCCTGCACACACCAATTCGTCAGCAACCGATCCTTATCAACATCTTCACAGTCCTTTGGCACTTACATCGAGGAACGAGCGCTGGTTCTCGTAGCCCTCAACAGTGTTCTTGCCCTTGTTGCATCCGAACTCGCCGAACATGAACGGGTGAGCGTAGCCGACCTCGGCGTACTCGGACATGAGCTTCTTGAGGCCCGTCGACTGCGAGTACTCCAGGTGCGTGGCGGGGTCACCCTCGACGTACGGGTTGAAGCCCATCCTGTTGTGGAGCACAAGAGACGGTTAGTAAGTGCAACCAGCTCTCTCGTAGCGGGCAGTTCGTACCATTCGGCACGGGTGTTCTCGTCATCGTCAATGGCGCAGTCGTAGTACGAGATCCACTGCTCACGAGGAGGGATGTCGGCAATGTCCAGGCCGATCGGCACCTGACGCACGGAGCCCGAGCAGCTCGCAGCGTAACTGCGCGTGTCACGCAGGAAGGCCTTGACACACGGAGCCGTGGTCGTGCCAGCGGCGCCGTTCTTCACCTGGAGGTTGTTCTCGTTACCGACACTGAAGCCGAGCGTGTTGTCGTACACCGCGAAGGCGTTGTAGACCATCTGCGCGCGTGAACAGGTCGTCCGGGTAGCACTTGGGCGGCTTGAAGTCGAGCACCGAGCAGTTCTCGCACCTGCCAGCAGAACACTGTTAGTAAATTTCAAGAAACTACAGCAACACCTAAATTCTAAGTACTCACGGAGCGGTCATGCCCACGAGCATGTAGATGCCCGCTTAGGAGCACGCGCACATGAACTTGTCGTGGGACTTGCTGGGGTCCACCGAGTACAGTCGGATGGTATTGACGCCGAGGTCCTTCATGACCTCGAGGTGGGGCTTCCACACGGCCTCGTGCTCGTCGGCGGCCCAGTCGTAGTTGCTCACGTCGGCCATCTCGCCGCTGTTGGGGCGCGGGTAGTACGCCATGCGGAACTCCATGCCGGTCTCCGAGTTGAAGAACTTGTTGCCCTTGGTGATAATGGGGGCAACCCACGCATCGGCCGGGGACACGACGACAGCGGTGGCGAGTGCGGCGGCGGCGCAGAGGCCGCGGATACGGGAACCGAAGGCCATTGTTGATGAGGTTGGACTGGAGTGAGGTGAGGTGAGGGGCTGTAAGTACTGAGTCGACCTGTGCAGGGCTTGTCAGTGGGGAGTCCGGTCGCTTCTCGTCCACGGCGAGCAGCAAAGTGGAGAATGAAGAGCGGTCAGGTGGGAGAGCGAGCTCAGCTCATGCGCTCTTAGGCCCGTTCTCAACCGGCCGCATGCGGCCGCACCGCATCGCAGAGTTTTGTACAATGCGGCTGCATGCGGCCGCATCGGTTGAGAACGCTCGTACGGCCGCATTGTGCACCCTACCCGCATGAGCTTCCAGATGACATCGGCCAATTCGAACTCAAACATACCAAAAGCAGCAACGCGAAGTATGATGAGTTTTGCCGAAGACTCGTATTTCTCGATGCTAGCTCATATACCAACTGAAAACAATATATGAACAAGTACTTGTACGCCTGTAGTGGATTAATGCTAAATAGGTATCCGACGTACCAGTAGATTAAAACCAAACAGCAAGAATGCAAGGCAACTCACAAAAACTGTAATGAAAACGGAAACTCGTTAAACATTTCTATAGCGGCCATCGATTTTGAAGCTACACGCGCTCTACGCTAAAGGAATCTATTTTGCTTTGTGCAGCAAAAGATTACGCACTTATATTTCTTCATTATACTGGTGGGGTTAACTTACAAGTAGCTTCTGTAGCATAAGTTGACGATCCACTCATTGAGTAGCTCCACCATATCGCTGTAGGTGGACGGTTTTTCTTCACACTGCTGGTTGACCAGCGTAGTAGCTCTTTTTGTATCGCTTTCCTTATTGTTGTCTGCGCCAGGTTTTTGCTGAAGATGTTTGCAATATGCAGAAACACAACAAGTTTTTCGACATACATTTTATTTTAGTGCTAAACCTCTGTTGACTCAAATAAAAAGCTCTACTGATGCCACCTAACCGTGCCTTTCGCCTCAGCACGCCTTCGTCGATATCGTGCGGGCATGGAGGTATACGTTAGCTTGCTTGAAAGCCCAAACATCATGGTTGGCTGTGGATATGGGCTGTTTGTCATCATAAATCAAGTAAAGTTAGCAAGGTCTCGAATGCATAACAACAATCATCTTCATAGGCACTGCAGCCGAATTGTTTGGCCCCTATATATGGTATGCACGTGCTGGTAACTGTCGGCAGCAGTCGCAGCTATTAGTTTTTATCTCACGGTACACGATAACATTTAACTCTCACGCACACGACTCCGTCAACCGATGCATGTTATGACTACATGTATATTGGCTGATACATAACTTCCACACGTAGGGCGATACGCTAGTGCATGTTGATCTACGCCTGCTAAAGAGCAGGTAGACGTAGTACACGCTTCCCGGCGGTGGGGGTTCTACATCTAAAGGTAGTTTCCACTACCTGCAACATGTATCTACTTCGAAATAGATGTAACATTACACGTTCTGTACGATGCACTCAATAATAACACGAAATCGTGTAGGCCGGATAGAGTAGCGGGCCCCCTTTGTGTTGGCGTCCGCTAGCACCAGCGGCCCGAACACCTCGAGTAGAAGCTAAAATACAAGGTTGACTTCTTTGGCAGTCAAGGAGTCAAATTGACGTCTTGTCGGCTGTTGTCTGATAGGGTACTGTACCAGTAGGTGAGTTAATAAGAGCACTCTGATTGGTGCTGCGGCGTGCAACCCCTACTCACTCTCGTGCGGCGACTTCGCTGCATGCGGCCAACTCGCCGCATGAGCGCCTATTTTTGCATGGAGGATTCAGACCGACCAACAGAGCCTCTGCACGAACTGGACACCCTTAAAACTTCATCGAGACCCTCGAACGTCGCTGCTTTGGAGGCTATCAAGCAGCAAGGCGCGGGATATCCAAGATCAATATCGCTTCCACGAAGTATGGTACCGCGTTGAACGCTAAACTGTGTACTGCCATCTAACTGGTTTTCCTTGTGTGAAACTCAGGGCAGCTCTGAGGGAGATGGAGGTATGCAGTGCTAGTGGGAAAACGCTGAAGAAGAGGAAGAATTACGACAACTGCAGCAGCTATTCGCTGCGAAATCCTCGGAGATGGCTGCAGCGATGAACGAGTCCAGGGTCGAAGCTGCAGGAGCTCCTTGACCCAACAACGGCATCATCCTTCAGCGACGAAAATCGTGCCAAAGATAATAGAATGGACTCCAACCAAGAGCCGACGATCTTTGACTCGACTGCGTTAGTGAACGAGCTGATCGCTCGAGCACAACAAACCCCTGCGTACAACTCGAAGCAGACGGGAATGCGTCGACCGATGGTTCTTGGATCATTGCACATTCATCTATAGGCCAGCAACCTGCTGAGTACCATCGACCACCTCGTCATGCCCAGAGTCTGCTTTATAATAAGTGGACTAACGATCGCGCTCGCAAAATCGCGCAGCTAGCTAACTACAGAGACCAACAGGCGGTGCTCCAAGCCCAGCAGTCCATGCAAACATTTCAGCAAACGCTCGCCGAGTTCCGCAACCAACGATAACTGTTGGTAATACTCAAAAGTATGCTTATCTACAGTATGTCTACCATTTCGAGCCTCAGTTGTCAGGACGTGGTCGATCTGCAAGCCTCCAAGCTTTCTGCGCAGCCCCGACGCCGTGTTGAGCGTGTGGACGTAGACAGCCGCTCCATCTTGTCCTTCCTCCGATTCTTGTTTGCAGTAGGTGATAACGCCGCCGCCACTTCCTCCCCCCCCCCCCCCGAACACCACAACTTTGACTCGGTCAACGCATCGTGGACTCACAACGAAAGTAGGAGGCACCTCGCCATCAGAACTGGCCAATGCTTTCCGGACGAAGTCAATGGCAGTCTCCGTTCACCAAGAACGGCGCTTGCTTCTTGTGCTTGATAATGTATCGACCAGGACAGCTCCGGATCACCTTCCACGGCGCGAAGTCCCTACTCCATCCACAGACAACAAGCAAGCCAATTAAACAATGTCACCTCTATCAACATACACACTCCCGCTCCGTACCACAAACGCTGCAGTAGCTCCCCGCCATCGCCCACGTAGTTCCCGTCGCCTACAAACGCCGCCGCACCGTCCATTGCTTGCTGCTCTCCTCTCCACCAGCTTGTGGATTGTACTTTACTGGGATCCCCCCCATTTCGACGATGTCCCAGTTCCGCGTGGTGCAGCTGACGCAGGAGGCGCTCAAGGTGCAGTGCAAGACCGACGGTCATGAGCACTGGGGGTCTCCGCTGCTCGACGTGCAGCAATGGCAGAAGAAAGGTGAAGCGCAGCGCGCCACTCGCTTCTCCCAGGATGGAGCTCTCTTCTGGGCCCTCGTGGATAAAACTGAGGAGAATCCCCAAACCTCAAGTGATTCGGGGGTAGTAGCCGGTCGAGACCTGCTCTGCTGTCATTGCAAGACCCTTCGGTTCCCCTGCGTCTACCGTCGAAGCTCGGGGAGATCGAGCGAGGCTTCTCGTACCAAATCAGCTCGGTCTACACGCTCCCGGAGTTCCGGAAGCGCGGCCTTGCGGGTTTCTTCCTAACCGAAGTGGCCAAGCAGCTGGAGCAGCTGCCCCAAGCTCTCATCTCTGGGCTCTACTCGGACGTCGGACCGACATTCTACGACAAGCTCGGCTGGAAGTGCCACCCGTCCAAGTTGGCTACACTGGAGATTGACCACCCTCGCAACACCAAGGCTGTCGACAACAACAACAGCAGCACTGAGCTCAAGTCATTGGTACTGGATGATAAGCTGGACAAGTTCCTGGAAGCTGATAACGCCCGCCTGGTGGACGCGCTGGCTAATAGCGAGAAGTTTCAGATTGAAGTGGCGGAACGCAAGCTCTCGCTGTCGAATGCCATGGTGTTTCGCCGCGGAAATGTGGACGATAGCAAGACGACAGCTCTTCCTCACTGGTTCTGCAACGAAAAGTATGCTTGGGTTTAATTAAGCCCAATGCAGTGGCCGACCGGAAGTATCGGTTCAAGTTATGCATGATATTTGGTGCGGTTGGATGGATTCAAGGTGACCCGGAGTACTTACATGAATTGGATGGAAAGGTATCACTTTTGGCACAGCAAATCTAGTCAATCTGAAGCAGATTTAGTTTTATGATTCCTCGTGTTGAGCTCTATTACGTGTCACTCCTGGCAAGATGGTCTAAGCTTTTCGGAAGCCTTCCGATGGTCTTCACAACAAGCGGCGGGTTCTTTGGCCGGCAATGGGCTCGCTCACTCACTCGACGAAGCTGGCGGCCATGTAGAGCGCCCAGGAGCGCGAGAGGCCGTCGTCCATCTTGGCCTTCTGCAGCACACCCAGCGCGCGCTGCTTGTCCACCATGGCGAAGCTGGCGTACAGCAGCGAGAGCCACGTGTCCTTGCGCGTGACGATCGTCTCCTTGTTCAGCACCTGCTCCCACTCTTCCTTGACGAACTGCTTAGTGCGCACGAACTCGGTGACGGCCGACACGGGGATCATCTGGATGCCGTGGATGCAGTGCTTCTAGGCACTGAACCACGTGGCGTAGTCCACCTTGTTGTCGAAAAAGATGCCCGTGACCTTGTTGAGGCGGAAGTTGGTCGGGTGGATCTGGTTGGCGTCCTCGATGAGGAAGTACGCCTTGATGGCGTGAGCGTTGACGCGCGTCATGAGCTTGCCGACGGCCTCGAGCGCCGCGTTGTTGGTCGCCTTGCCGAACATGTACATGCCGAAGGCGAAGTTGACGTCCTCCGACGTGCTCTCCTGGTCCTTGCCCTCGGCGAACGTGGTCACGCCGTGCGAGTACGAGTGGCCGCGGAACCAGTCGAAAAGCGGAAGCGCGTGAAGAACTTGTCCTCCGGGTCGTAGTTGGCCACGTCGCGCACGAGCAGGTTGGCCACCGAACTCGCTCCAGGTCGGGTCGAGGCGGTTAATGATGGCCGCCGCGTGGACCCAGTAGCCGTAGTGGAAGTGGTGGTCGTTGTACATGGTGTTGCCGAAGTCCGAGTTGAGGTCCTTGGTCTTCAAGCCCTGCGAGCTCACGATGCCGCCGTAGATCTGGTTGTACTGGAGCTTGTTGGCCCAGCTATTGGACACAAAGGGCGTCATCACGCCGCGCAGTTTGGTCAGGCACGTGTTCAGCAGGCTCTTTCGACGGCCGCGTCGTTCGCGATCAAGCACATACTTCTGGGCAGCCTTGCCGTTGAAGTAGTAGCTGCCGTCAAGCGGAATGGACCACGCGGCGTTGATGTCTTCGCGCAGGTGGTCGAGGACGCGCTGCTGCTGAGCCACGGCAAACGCGATCTTGCGGACCGGGTAGAAGTCTTTGGGTACGGGCTGGGTCTCCTTGATCTCCCACACAGGGTCGGCCGAGCCGCCCGGCGTCGTGAAAGCCTGTTACGCCCCGCGAGTCGTCGAGTACGCAATCATGCCGTCCACCTTGCGGGCCCCGGCGCTCGTGTCGATGGACTCGACCTGGTGCTTCATCGCGAAGTGCAGCAGACCAACGGAGCAGTCTTCCACTTGAACGCGTAGGAGCTGTCGTCGTGCAGATCCACGGTGGCGGCCTGCACGACGCAGGACTTGTGCTCAGCCAGGAGTCGTTGCCAAGTCGAACGGTGCAGTGCTCTTGAGTGCAATGTTGCCGTCAGCAGTCAGAGTGATCTCCTGCTCACTGCGACCGTCGCTCGAGAGTGCGTAGACCACCCACTTCTGGCCGGAGTTGTACGCGATCACGAACTTGGAGCCGCGCACTTGTCCACCAAGCGGCTGGCCGTTGACGCTGGAGATCGCAGCACTCGACACGAGGCGCGGGGTGAGCCCCGAGTACTTCATGGACGTGTACACCATGCCTGACACGAGGTCCGACACGAGGTGGCCGAAAACTTGACGGTCACACCTTGATCGGCCCAGTCCACGACTTGGAAGTTGGGCTTCTGCTGCATCTCGACGGCAGAAAACATGAACTCGCGGACCTGGCCGTGCGCGTAGAACTTGACGGCGCCGTTGTTTCCGGAGCTGCTGCCGCTGAAGCGGTTGCGATACGGGTAGCTCACGGACATGCCGAAGGGTGCGTTGTCGACCACCATCTGCAGCGAGTACGGGTTCGGCCAGATAGGCTGGATGGCCGCGTTCGAGTCGTGCGCGATGATGTTGCCCTACAGTTGTTGGTCGGGATGGCGCAGTTCTTGATCACCGACGAATCCAGGTACATGTGAGGACTCATGGCGTCCGTGTGCTCAACCAGGTAGCTCGGCGGTTCCGAGGCTCCAAGCATCGATGAATTGCCACCACCACCGACGATGGGGGTGGACGGAGTCCGTGCTGCCGAAGAGGCTTGAGGGCTGGAGATGGTCTCGTTCGACACGGGTGCATCCGATGGCCCAACGACAGGCAGATCGCCACCGAGGCTGGAGCTGCGAACGCTTGAGCCGAAACTTCAGCAACGTGGAGAAGAGCCCCGAACCCGATCAAAGCTGACGCGGAGATCTTCACGGTGTTTTGAGGAGACGGTTGTAGCTTGGCGTTCTTACTGGTTGGCAGAAGTAAAAAATGACAAGTGAGCTCTCAACACGGCGTGCTTCATGGCAGGCTGCAGGACGGCGATGCCCGTTCAGACTCACCTCGAGCTCGTAGAACCCTGGAAGCGCGGCTGGGAACACGCACTGCAACGCGCCATCTGCTGTTGCAGAAGCGGCAGAGTTAGGGGTGAACTGCGCGTCAACCACAATGCCGTTCTCATCTGGTTCTTTCTCGTCCTGGAGGGTGAAGCGAACCAGCAATTGACAGCCGAAGTCTCGGGTGTGCTCCATCTTCCAGCGCCAGCGCATCATTGGCTCCTTCCATCGCATCCCACCCTGGGTTAATCCGACGCAGAATCGGCTCCACATAACACGTAAACTGCAACGGGCTCTGCGTCGAAGTGTAGTTGATACCGTTCAGCGAAAGGCTCAACACGGCCGTGCAAGGACCTTCCACGGCCGGATCCACAAAGCGCACAGCCTCACCGACGATTTCTCCCCGTACTAGCATCGACTGCAGCGACGTCCTGCTGCTCAGATCCAGGACAATAAAGGTCTCGACAAACTCTTGATCTTCATACGTGAAGCGCACGCGTACCATGCGATTCTCGGTCTTCACGACGGCACACGTTGCCTGAGGACTGCAGCCCCCAGTGAGGTTCATGCTCACTGCAAGAACCAAGATGACAAGCCTGACCTTGTCATCCTGAATGTGGACTCGATGAGAGCAAGTGGCTCTGGTGGTCTCTCCTTAGCATTGATTGTCGAGCGTGCTCGTTTCCAAGATCAGCGTAATTATAGGCGCTACTGGGTTAATGGTGCTGATAGTGGATGCTGAGCTGCGGCTTGAAGAGATCTTCAATTCTAACCCGCACTAAGTGTGTAGTGGGCCTACCATAGCTCACTACTACGGCTTACACGTATGCGCACGTGTATGAGGAAGCGTAGGTTTCTTTTACTTGTGTTAAGTATACTCGAGATCCACGAGTATACTTTAAACAAGATAAAGACTCCAAGTAGCGGGTTTTGGTAAAAGCTGAGAACTGCTATTTTTGTTTTATGTTTCTGACTTCCTCAAAATGTAATATTCTAAACTAGGAATCTGCCAACGGCTGATTGGCAGGATTCTGCTAATATACAAGTCATTCATTGGCTAAAAGATGCTTCTCTCAGCCAATAGGAATCCTAAGTCTCTATGGACCACCCGTCATGGTGGTCGTAAATGTATGTAGCCATTGGTGTACCTTACACCAAGGTCGAGGAAGTGTTGAACCTCTAACAGACATCGCATCTGTTAGAGTAACAAGTGACTGTAGCCACTTGTGCGTGTAACCCTGTTACATCTTCGGGTCCCGCGCTACCGTCTACACCACGACACACGCTCCTGCCACGATCAGCAGGACAAGGGTCTCCACTCTCATCCAGGTCTACAGAGCCTTGTTGGCCATCGCGTCCAGCTCCGTCGAGGCGATCGACGCCGTACGCCCCTCCGCGACACCGGCGGTGGAGCCGCTCAACCCCCTCTGGTCCATCCAGCTCATCGACGCGACAAGGTTCAGTTACTCCGGTTTCGAGGCTTCAACCCTCAACGCCCAAAACAAAGCCATCGTAACGCTGAACGAGCTCCAGAGCTACCGCTGCAGTCACCCCGGCCGTACTGAGCCCGCTGTGCTTGCCGATAATTGACCCGACGCTCGATCAAGACTTCTCGGCGCCTGACCCAGCCGCAAGACCAAGCAGCAGCTCCGCGAGTCCTCAAATCACGCTTGTTCAACTTGAAGCAGAGCCCGGCGTTTGTCAGGCAGTGCGCGCAGGCAAGGCGGCGACGCACCGTGGCAAGCAGCGAAGCCCCAACATCCGCTTTGGAAGCTCTGAGCGGCGTTATTCCCGAACGACGATGCATGTAAACTGTGTACAGTAGTAGCAGTGTGTCTACTTCGAGATCCAGGTTTGCAGTCGGTCTCTCCTTCGGATTGATTGTCGAGCGTGCTCGTTTCCAAGATCAGCGTAATTATAGGCACTACTGGGTTAACGGTGCTGATAGTGGATGCTGAGCTGCGGCTTGAAGAGATCTTCACTTCTAACCCGCACTAAGTGGAGTGACTACCGCAGTCATTTCCTTGGTCCAAATCGGTATCGTTAAGACTTTTGATTAGCTCTTAGCCTGCTGGTTGGTCTTTTTTTAACGTTTCTCAAATCTCGTTTCGTGATGTTCAAAACATAGGTTTGACATAGCTTTTTTACCTGGCTGTTTTTATGTTTCAATTTATTTTTCAAACGAAAAAAAATCATGCCAAGATCGCGAAACAGCAGTTATTTTGTAAAGCATTTATTTTCGTAATAACCCCTCGCACTAATTAACACTACGTTTAATGTGTGGGTCAGTTCTCGGTCCAGAAACAACATTATTTTGGATATGTCGTCGAGGATTGGCGCCAACTAGGTCGTCTTCGACTTGGCTGGGAACACCTGTGGAATAAAATGCTGGTGCTGGTACCGGTGCTAAATGCCGTGATGACTGTGGCCCGCGTGATTCAAGGGCGTGGCCCCTGCGGGGCCACACCCATGAATATCGCGCGTGCCGCAGTTCACTTTCTGAAGCTGGTGCATGGGGCTGTTGATGTTGACGTGCATTTCCTGCCTCAGTCTGTCTTGCTGAAAGTTGCCGTTGAACCTGCTCGGTCGATATCCTTCTGGCTGGGGTAGCACGAAGGTTGCGCCAGGTTACGCTTACGCGTCCAACTAATACGTTGGGAGCTGTCCACCCCCTCATTCTTCGGGTGTTCCCAGTATAATCCGAAGTGATATGGGCTTCAAGATACTTTGCTAAAACATATTTTCACTTAAAAGTACTTTTACTAAAAACAAAGTTGCGCGTTGCACGAAGAGGCTCTGAAATTGACATGCATGAATGTAGTGTGTAAAGCCCAGTTTGCTCACTACAGCACTCTCATGGCCGTGGTCTAGTCAATGGCAAGGTTGCATAACGTTCTTGCTGGTGTTGAGCCTGCCAATTTCCAGCGTTCACATTCATGCGTCCCCAGCCTTGCCAATTCAGATATGTTGCCCTCTTTAACATACGTTCACGCAACATCACGATCGTACATAAGGTAACATTCAAGTAATTTATGAAGTTTCTTTGGTATGTATTACCATTACTTCGTATACATCAACGACTCGTCGCAACAATGCTGCGCGGCCTGCTGCGGCGCCTGCTGCCGCCGCTAGCGGCGCTCAGCGCGGCCTTCCTCTTCGTGAAGCTGCAGGCCCAACAGCAGGAGGTTGCCACCTCTCCCTCGCTTGATTCTCCCGTGCCCGTGCTCACTGTACGCCTCGCAATCCCCCTCCAACCGATACCGCCGTATCTTCCGTCGCCTAACTCGTCTCTAATTCCCCGTCTAATTCGTGCGCAGCAGGACGCGCTGCCCTCCACAAGCAGCCTCTTGGCCCAGTATTTACCTGGCGACCTGCTGAGCAGCCCCTTCAATGCGTCGGAGGTGGCCGCCGCCTTCGCGCAGCCCACGGACTGGGGCGCCATCGGTCTGGCGCTGGAGGCGGCCGTTGTGGCCACGTTCCAATGCCTAAAGCTCTGGGCGACCTTCCTGATGCTTGTAGCAGTGCCGCTACTGCAGGGTCTGGCTGTGGTGGGCGAGGCGGCGCTGCCCCACTGCCTTGCTGCGTCGAAAGTGGCGGCCGACTACGTGAGCAGGATGGACCCGCTGCACCAGGCGATCCTGGCGCTGTCCGTGCTGTTCCTGGTCGTCTGTGTGCGTCAGGGCTACTTCCACAAGGCGCGCGTGCAGTACGTGAGGACGCGGCGGTTGCTGGAGCTCCGGTACCGCGCGTTTGTCGCCAGTCTCAGCGCCAAGTGGCGCGTGGTGGCGATTCTACTGCCCCATGTGCTGTTCTTCGCGCTGAGCTACGAGGCGCTCTACTGGCTGCCGCGCCCCATGACGGACGTGCTGAGTAGCGAGCCGCTGTTCGGACTGCTGTCGGTCGGTTACCCGCTGCTGCACACGATCGGAGTCATCAGGCAGAAGCGGCTCTACCCGAAGCACACCAAGACGACCCCACCCGCGTCCAGACCAGAAGCCACCAGTGAGTTGATCAAGAAGTTTGAGAAGATCAGCATCCCGGACTACGAGTGGAGGGCGTACGAGGCGTGCCTCAAGTACTGGGTCATCTGGTCCGTGGCGGCGTGCTCGATCGGCATGGTCACGCTCTTCCTGCCGGCCTTCGTGACGTCCTTCTTCACGGTGCCGCTGCACTTCTGCAACATTTTCCTCATCTGGATGCACTCGCCGTTCACGCGTGGCGACATCGCTCTCTACACGATGCTGAGCCCGCTCATCAGTCCGTACGCGAACCGGATCCACGAGCGCGAGGCGGAAGTCAACGCGGATGCCGAAGAGAAGACGAACTTCCTCATCCGCCTGCTCGTATCGTTCCGCGTGGTGCCCGAGCGACACGTGCACTTGGCGAAGGACTTGTGGTCCCAGGGCCCGGCGCTCTTCGGCCTCATCTTCATGTTCACGCCAGGCTTCGTGGCGTCTCGCGGCTGCTCGCTCATGGGCTTCGGATTCCCCGCCTACGTCACGATCGGAGTGCTGGGCGAGAAGCGGACGCGGCGCTACGAGTGGTGGCTCGCGTACTTCAGCGTGGCCGTCACTGTCGACTACCTCATCACCGCGATCGGACGAGAGATCGGGTGGCTCCCGCTGTTCTACCACGCGAAGCTGCTGGTGATGATGTGGCTCCAGTTTCCGTACTTCCAGGGCGCGGAGCGGATTTTCAACGCTTGCTTCTCGAGCGTCTTCATAGTTCCAGAGCGCAAAGACGATTGAATGGATTTGCCTACTTACCTAGAGTCTGATGTGTCTGCTGTTGTCTTGAAGTGCTTTACAGGTATATTGCTGGGGCTGGATCCGGAAACCATTAACTTTATTTGTGATCGTTTCGCTGTTCTTACCCACGCTATTGTTAGGGCGTGCGTTGGCTGAAGCTGCCAGAGCTCTCGACAGTTGTGGTTCCTCCTGGTGTGAGGGTGTCGTGGATGCAGACGACAATGAGGAGCTCCTTTGCAGCTCAGTCCAGCCGGGCGGGGTCTCGTCTACACGCGTACACTCCAAGCGAGAATCCAAGTGTCCAGGAACCGTCGATCTACCATGGGAAAATGCGTACAGCCCCGGAGAGTGCAGCACCAGTTGATATCATCCTCGGAGTCTCCGCTGAGACCGTTCACGCCATCACAGTCCACCAGCACAAGATGATGTTCCAGTCCCCTATCGGCGTCATGAAGGAGGTCGTGTGGGACCACAGCGAGAAGTCGGTGCACTTTGTGCTGGACGACGGCTCCACGTCCCCGACGTTCGTCTTCCCTGTACTCACAGAGCTTGAGGCGCATTTCACTGCAATCCTGGCGCTCCCGGACCTGGAGAAGCCGCCCGAGCAAGTCTACATCGGAGTTCTGATAGGTCAGAACTTGCCCTCGCCGATCCAGCAGCGACGAGCGTCTCTAGGGTCCAGTCAGCCGTCGATGCTGCCCATGTCCAAGCGACGAGAGTTACTGCGACGAGAGCAGCCAGTGAAGAACGCAATGAGTCGCGAGCGCTTGGGGGTGGAGTTCATTCGGTCGGGATTCCTCGGCTTTACCTGCTCCATTAGTGGTGATCTACGGGGACTCACGCTTGGGATTCACCACCTTCGCGTATTCCCATCACCCGACTGTCACGACCGCAGTGCGTGCCTGTTTTCCTACTCATACGAGCACCTCGAGTCCTGCGAAGTGGCGGGGACGCGAGTTGAACTCCGGTTCCGAACGACTCATCAACTCGCAAAGCAGCCAAGCTATCTCGCGTTCCAGAGCTTAGAAGCCCAGTACATTCGGGAGGCGATCTGGTACCTCAAGAACGGCACGTACATGGACGCCTCTCTCCGGGAGATGCTAGCCTCTCCGACCCGAACTCCTCGGTCCAGCAGCAGCGAGATCACAGCACCGATCCCGGACATCAGCTCTGGATCGCGAAGAGCGAGTGTGTTGATGTTTTTTACAGACGCTGATAGCCTCAAGCAACGCATCGACGCTTGCTGTCGAGTCATTGGGTGTGAGAACCTCGCGGAAAGCCACGACCAAAGCGGGAGCAAGCCGGAGGAAGCTTCAGCGTCGAATGTGATGATCAACTCGGGGGAGCTGAGCAACATGAACCCGAGTCTACGCACCAATCCAAGCATGTCGCGAGTTGCCACAAACGGGTTGTGCGAGCTCCACGCATTGTGTCTCTCGTCGGCGCTAAACGAGCCGCTACTGCGTCAAATGGCCGCTTTGTCTCGTAGCAAGGCGCCGCTGCCTTCAAAGACTATACAAGCTCTCGCAGCTCTACTCCAGTCAACGCATTATGCGAAGATGTTCAAGTTTCAAGGTCAGCTACTCAAGCGGCAGAACGCTCGCACCTTCCACCTGCGGAAAGCGTGGCACCCCAAGCTCGTCGTTCTGTTGGAGACCCCCGTGGGAGGATTCCTCTGCTACTACGACAAGATTACGCACTGCCCCGGGATGACAGATACCCCGAAGGAGCGACGAGTCATCGATCTGAGCTCGGTGCTCTGCATCCGACCGGTATCCGCTGCTAGTCCAGTCAGTCGTGGTGGTAGCAGCACTAGCACTTCGACAATGCACGCGTTCGACGTGGTTACGCTCTACCGGACGTGGACGTTTGCGGCGGCGGAGCCTGAGGAGTACGAGGTGTGGCTGAACGTGCTCTCCGAATGCGTGGAGAAGCATGCAACCATCGCTCCGGACAAAATACTGCGCTTCCCGGTGAAGCAGGCGATGTCGGGCCAGTCGTGTCCGACCGAGGCGACTTCGCTGGAGATTTCGTCCCATGGAGTTTCCTTCTGCACGGGACATGAGGCGGAAGTCGAGCTGAGCTCCTGGTACTACACGGATCTCGAGAAGTGGTCGGTCGTATTCCAGCAGGGGTACACGTGCTGTCTGCTCAAGTGTCGGAGTCCTGCGCCAGCCTCCCCAGGCACCCCTCGAGCTACCACCGGCGATACAATTACGCAGGACTTCCTCTTCCGAACAGCCGAGGCCAGCACTATTTGCCTCGCTATTGAGTTCTATGTGGGCAAATGCATGGCCAAGCTGGAGGTGCTGGCTGGTCAATACCTGGAGGAGAGTCGCGCAAGGAAAGCGAAAACCCCACTGATAGCCGATCCCGCCACGTCGAAACGCGGCACTGCCAACCCGAAGCTGGAGCTGAAGCTGGTAAAGGAACACCCGATCGAGAACGTCTCGCTCGCTCCGATTGGAAGCCCCGAGAAAGTCGCACCGGACGAGACTGAGGTGCGATCGCCAGAATTGAGCAGGATTCCGGAAAACGATGAAAGCACGGGGCCGGAACAACTTTGTGGCGCTAAAAAGACCGCAAAAACAGTCGAGATTCCAATTGAGGAAGCGGCCGCGGTTGACACGGTCATCCAAACAAAGTCATTGAGTGGGATGAGGAGTGGTTCGCTAGTGCTGACGCTGGAATTGGAAGTGGCTGTGAAAGAGCTTGGACGTGTCACTGAGACTGCTCCGTCTATTGCGGTTTCCGAAGCAGTGGATGATGAACAAATCTTGCCTTTAGAGAGCGATGAGGCTGCAGAGCTAGTGAAACCATCGACGGATGTGTCCGAATCGCCGGTGTCGCCGTACTGCGCTGCTGATGAAATGAAGGAGCGAGCTATTGTCGTCGAGGAGGATTCTCCTTCTACGATTATTGACACGCCCAAGGATACATCTACGTCAGAGACCCCAGCACCTACGGGTCTAGAAGGCGAATGTGCAGAGCAAACTAAAGCTGACGATATTCCGGAAAAGGTCCACGATGTCTCTGGTGAAGAAGTGCAACCACTGCAACAAGTGGAGTCGTCCCAAGTCGACAGCCCATCTGATAACGACTCTACTGACGACTTTGAAAACATCGACCTCGGCGATTTCATGCTTCCCACCACAGAAGAAAGCAAACCGGGTGAAGTCGTGCTTGTGGAGGTGCAAGATGAGGCTGTGCTCTCCCCTCCTAGTGACACTATTGAAGGTCAAGTTATCCAAAGCGAGCATGAACCAAGTTGCCATCTGCAGGTCGAGCCGACACCCAGTGAGGAGTGTGGCGACTACCTGCAGGCCAAGCACGAGCCACTGTCTACTGATACCAGCGACTTTGTTTCGCCTTCTGAGGAGACCAGCAGTACCGCTGCCATGAGCTGCGATGTCTTCATGGTCGAGTTTCGTGCAGACGTCACTTCTGTTCACGAAGCAGAGAACGCCATTCTGCCGGCCTCCGCGAGCCCTGGACGCGAAATAATCGGTGCCTCTGTGGTCTCGCCAGCTCCTCCACTGCTGCTACTTGAATATCTCCCTACGTGGCCAGGTGAGCCGCAAGAATCACAGGAGGAAGTCAACGAAGTTGAAGAAGAAGAAGACGATGAACCGACCACGCAGCTCGAGGATGAAGAGCTCGAAGATAACCGCGAGTCGGAGTGCGAGGTCTCGGATTGGTCGGAGGCGTTCAATTCCTGCGCCTCTGAAGTGGATTTCCATGCTGACGACGCTGCCCACATAACGGCAGAGAGCCATCTTCTACATGGCGAGGGCGACGAGGAGTTTGAAGACGCCATTGATCTGGAATCGGAACCTTCAACGCGAGACCGAATAGCACCATCCGCTGATGGTAGGAAAGACACAGAAAGGGTCAACTAACGGCCGATTGCAACACGAATACTGGGCTCCTCTGTTCGTGTGTTAGCGGAGCTGTGGTTTGATGAGGCCTGCACCTAATTCAGTCCGTCGAGTTGAAACTGGTGGCGAAGCGACACATCCATCCGGCCGGATGCGTCCACGCGCAGCTCGACGTTGCCACGGACTGTAGAAGACGCAGTGAGGAGGGAGTCGAGCGAGCGCCGAGGTGGCCTGAGCCTCCATGGACCGCCCCCGACCAGCAGCCAATGGGTCCAGCAGCAAACCTAAAGTGTAAGTTTTACTCGAACGGCTAGCTACGTAGTCCCATGGCGCACTGCAATATTGACGTGACGAAATGCTATGAATCTGCAGATCCATCGGCGCAGTGACTTCCCCATCTCGCAGGCCAGCGCCAGTGTCTCCAACCACCACGTCGCCAAAGTTCCCACCGATCAAGAAAGCCAAGAAAACCTCCCCCAAGAAACCCATTCGAACGGGGGCAAATGGCAAGGTTAGCACATCGTAGATATAGAACTATTCAATTGCTAGTTATATGGCGCCCAGGCTGAGAATCATGTGCTACCAGGGCGTATCGCTGCCTCGAGTTTCATCCGTCACCTTTGCAAACGACTCAGGTCCTCAAGAGCTCGATTCAGGAGAGGTGCATACGAATACTAAAGCTGCTACACTCCTTCTTACCGTTGACTTGACAGCTCTCTATTGCCGTAGGAGTTGGAGGTGTTGAAGTGCATCCTCGTGCGTGAAGGCTACCTGCAACGGTTAGGTCGAGCTAGTGCTGCTGGGCACATTAGCGGCGCTCACTTGGGGGAGACTGTCGATGTCTTGGACTTGCTGCGGTTGGTGACTCTGGAGACGGTGGAGGCGGTTGTAGCATGGCGCAGCTACAAGCAGAGGCACAGGACCAAAGAGAAAGCGGCCGAATCCGACCAGTTCAAGTGGAACGGCATCAACTACCTGCTCAAGCTCGCGTCCGACCTGGAATTCCTGGAGAAGCACTCGGGGCTCACCGAGTGGCTGGGCTTCACCCTCCATCGCAACCCCTTCATCCTACCTCTCAACCTAGACTGCCGGGCGAAACTTGTCGTCGAGCAACAGCAGCCAAGAAGTGACACGGCCGACTCGAATCGATTCCTGCAAGTCGGGGGCAAGCGCTCTCAATCTGTTCGAGAAAGTCTCCGGAATTTGAACGGAGAGGACGAGAAACCAACAGCAGCAGATGCTGATGCGTTGGCCAACGCTCTGGCTGAACGGAAGCGAGCCAAGACCCCGTACGAGACGCGCGTGATCAACGATGAAGAGCTGGTCCCCAACACCCCGTCGAAGGTCGGAGCGCTCCGTCCGAAGTCTCGAGTTCAGCCACGTGGGAAGACCAAGTACAGCTCGGTATTACCATCGCAAATCGGAGAAGTGGACATGGCTCGCCTGCATGAGGCGGAAGTGGTGGTCCTACAGGAAGAAGCAGCGTTTGGACGGTACGCGCGAGACATCCACGGTCGAGTGGTGCCGGAGGACGAGGCTCAGCGTCGATTCAGTATGGTCGAGTTGTCGGGCAACGCGTATAATATTCCGTCAACGCTTTCGTCTTCTTACACTGCAGAAGACCCAGAGGGCAACGTGCTTCGACTAGGAGATCCCTCGCAGTCGGACGTCCCGGGCAAATTTCACGCCAAGAAGCGCTCAGGAATGCTGGGACCCATTTCCAAGCCCGAATGGCGGTCGTTTGACCGACCTCCGCCGCCTAGACGACGAGCTAGAGGAGCTCAGCTGGAAGAAGCGTTGGCTGCAGAGCGCAAAGCGAACGCCCAATTGGGGGTGCTACTGGACTCGCTCAGGGAGGAGATGGAGCGCAAGAATATGGACGTCGCCTACTTCGAGAGCTGCGTGGAGCTGCAGGTGTACGGCGAAGAATTGCGGACGTTTATCACTCAAGCTCGGCGTGAGTTGGCAGCGCTTCGGCGGGAGTTTGAGGAGAAGAAGTACATGTACGAGAGCAAAGTGGTCAACATCCACAAGAAGGAGGAGCTGCTCAACACGTTCAAGGCGCAGCACAAGGCCGTCAAGGACGCTACCGTAAGTAAACTCACTTGCTATCAGGCACGACAACTACTAACTCTCTAGTGTGTTTGAGCAGCACGCCAAGCGTATAGAGTCCGGTCAAGCAAAAGTTGCGAGTCTGAATCAAGAGCAGCAGCGACGCGAAGACCAAGAGCAGGCTGCGATTCGAGCTGCGGCTGCAGCCGAACAGCTCGAGCACGACCAGGCCGCTCCTCTCGTCCAGCACTTCTGCGCGACTCAGATCCAGAAGTTCGTCCGCGGGATGTTGGCGCGTGAAACCTTCGCGCAGATGAAGATCGAGTTCGTCGTAGCCAGCACCTTCATCCAGGCGGGAGTTCGTGGGTACCTCGTCCGACGGCGAGTCGCCAAAATGTACTGGAACAATGCTGCGTCCGTGCACTTGCAGCGAGTGGCGCGAGGCTATCTGGCGCGAAGGTTAGCAGCGGCGAGGAGGAGACGGACACTGCGTGAAACCTCGGCTGAGAAGATCCAGAAGGTCATGCGAGGGCGCTTCGGTCGCGTTCGGATGGCCAAGATCCGGGAGCTCGTGGGCTGGAGACTGCAACTCGCGCTTGCGGCTCAATCCGTGAATGCTGTGGCACTACAAGAGCTCGCAGCGGAGTGTCAGGAGATGGTCGCGTTTCCGAGCCTCATGAAGACAGGGATCAAGTCTTCCTCTCCTTCTGGGGATAAACCGCCTCTACCTGCGCTGGTGCTTGGCCTCGTGCGGATGCTGATGATCTTCACTAGCGAAGCCGATGATGAATGGGATATTCCGAGTACGAGGTGGCGGGAGGCTGCGCGCTTCCTGCGCTGTGGTGTGAGTGTCACTCGACGGATGCACAAGATTGCAGACGCTGCCGCTGGAGCAGCTCGAGCGTCTATGAGCCTCTCTTCAGGGGGTTTTGCAGCTGCGGGTGTCGCTGCTTCCACTCCGTATTTACGAGAGTCGCGCCTTGGTTTAGCGCTGCTCGAAGCGTACACTGGAGATTTGGACTTTAAAGTTGAGACCTTCGAGCGAATACCACGAGGTTGGCGAGCTGCAGTGGCGATTTTCAAGTGGACGACGGCGTTCGCAGCCATTGCGCGGCTGCAGCATCTCCTAGAGTCCGCAGCATCGTCTACCAACCCGTTCTTGGTGGTTAGTCGGACGTTGAGCAAGAGAGAAGCGCAGCACGAAGTCACGGAGCGACGAGATGCCGACCACAGCGACGAAGAATTGGCTCGACGATTTGTCCCCGTTGAGCTCGTTCAAGCACGAGGGTATCCGTTCCATCGCCCTCGTCCATTGCTGCTGCTGGTGGCTAATGACGTGCCACAGAAGGCACGAACTGTGATACTCGAGAAGCTTCAAGCAGCTTTACCGGGGCTCTTCCTTACGATCACGCGTCCTCCAGCGCCCAAGAGGAGGTCTCTGGGTATTGAAGACAACGTTCAAGCGTTCGACTTCAACGCTATTCGAGACGCCGTGGCTTTGGGGCACTGCGTCATCCTCGAAGGTGACGTTGGGCTTCGAGATGTGACTCAACGAGCCTTTCTGAGCTGCTTTGCGACTATCAAGAGCGGGATCCACCCCCCACCGATGTGCGTGCTATTGAGAGGTACCATCAAGAACCGCAGCGACCTGTTTGGACCGAAAGAAGGGTTTGATCAGCTGGAAGAGGCTTATCAGGAGGAGATCAAGCGTCGAATGGTCGATGCGGACGTGAAATTAGCTCTGGATCGGACTACACGGCTGCGACTGGAGCTAGCTGAGGGCGCCATTACCCAGGAAATGATAGAGCAGGCTAAGAGTGGGTTCGGGGACTTGGCTCCTGCTGCGAACCCGGCGTTGGTGGTGGTCATGGAGGCTGTAATCGTCCTGCTGACGCCTGGGAAGGTCTATGAAGGTCCTTCCCAGAGTGAAATCGCCACAAGTTCCGTTAGTTGGCGACTCTCGCGTCGACTTCTGGCTCAGCCAGCATTCTTACGAGCCAAACTACAGCGAGTGGATGTCACTAAAATCCCGCCGGTGAACTTGGTAGCACTGGAGCGATACTTACGCCATCAAATGTGGCCGAATGCGGTCGTCGCGAGGTCCCAAGTATCCCCTAGCAGACTGCTCTTCGCTCTGGCGGCTTGGGTCGAGTCGGCTACTAAGACCGCTCGACTGATCGCGGCTGACGGCACAGGCTGCCTCGCACCTGAGATCACTCGCTATGAACCGATCCCTGGTCTGTTTGAGCGCGTGGTCGTGTTTGACAATTGCCCTGTGGACCATGCGCAGGAGGGGGCGGGAGAAGACTCGGCAGTGATGCAGCTCATGGACGCGGTGCTGGCGGACGTTCGAGTGTACCGCACGGCGCATTTGCTGGTGAGTTCGAGCGTCAATGTCACGACTCAAGCGCTCAAGAAGAAGAGCGTCGACCAGGAAGAAAGATGCGTCGTGTCGCTCTTCCACGAGTGCAGGCGCATCTTCGCGAGCGTTTACTCGCCAAGCTCGGGCCAGCGCTGGTTCACAGTCATCTCCGAAGACGACATTGACAAGTTGCTGACTCCTACTGCGATGCCTCTCGGGGGAGAAACCAGAGCGGATAAACTACCGCCACAGTCACACAGTGAAATGTACGCGCGTCTCGCTCGCTTGTGTCTACTGCAACGACGAAGGCTTGAAGATATTCCGGAGTCTATTGAGCCTCCCAGTCCGTACGAATTAGTGGTGCGCCCTCACGCAGTGCGGCTGTATCGACGGGTACTGCTCCTGGGGGGGTACTTGGTCATGGTCACCATGGCGGAGCTGGCTCGCGGACATGTTCAGGTGGACGCATTCGTACACGGAAGTAACTCAGAGAATGCTCTCGCCCAATCCGTAGCTTTGACGCTGGCTGTTGAGCTGGAAAACGTGCTCGGTCGACTGTCGGCAGCTCAAGCTCGGCGGTTCTTCGTTCCGTCCTCTCGCATCCCCGCGCTCCTGCTTGACCGACTTCACCTGTACTGCGTCACGCGGACTTCGATGCTGGAGGCAGAGTTCCAACCGAGAGCGCCGTCCACACTAAGACTCAGTGTGAGAACCGGTGAAGGTGCGCCTGGACGCGTGCTGCTTCGACGTGTTGTACGATTGCCCAGTGCTGCATTGGGAGAGCGCTGGGTGTTCACGCTTATTGAACGACACAAAGCCGGCGACTTCCAGGCAGTTTTCTATGCTCCTGTGTCTAGCACTCGTCACACCATTCGTCTATCTGGTTGTGCTGCACAGGAGCTACTGCATCTATCGAGACATGCCACACCGACCCAGTTGCAGCGCGTATTGTTGAGAAGGTTCTGCGTGGCGAAAGCGGCAACTAAGGAACCCGAAGAAATTGACTCGAGCGATGGCGACGTGGATGAAGAACCAACGGAGGAGGACGTGGATGTTATGAGCTGCTATCGCTTGAGGCGCCACATCATTGCGAGGTTCCCGTGTGTCTTGCGAGTCATGGAGAACCCTCACCAACGGATCACGAAGAAACAAGTCGTGCGGACGTATGTACAGGCCGAGCTTTGTGAGCCTGAACCGAACGAGGAAGGCAGTGTAGTGGATCTAAGTGCAAGGGTGGACTCAGGTGGTGACGCTCTTCGATACCGAGTTTGGCTGCCTGGATCGTGCGTACAGCAGACGCTGGTACTGCACGAAAGCGAGGTTGAAGCGAGTCTGCCCATGGAATCGACGTGGCAACACGCGTCTGTAGCTGATCGGAGGAGCATCAGTCGACACCTCGTGCACCGCTACTTTAGATGGGATCCGAATGGTGGCGGCGGTGACGACGGCTGCCTGGTCGCTCACTTGCCGTGTGGGTCCTTCTGGGCGACTGAAGTGGCCCAGCAGCTCGGCGCTGGCTCGTACAAGACGAAAAATACTGGAGGTGAAGAGGAGCTGCAACGATTCAGCCTGCAGGATCGCACGAAGGGAGACGAGGAAGTCGTTGTGGTTTCGTGCACTCACCTACTGGATGACCGAGCGACTGAGAGTGATAACGAAGTCGACGATGAAGAAGAACGCGAAGAAAATAATACCAAGGGAGGGAAGCGCCGACGGAAGCTGTACAGCTACGACACGGAAGAGCTTGTCCATCGGGGCAGCTACCGGGCCAACGGTCTCTACGTGGTTATACGTGTTACTATGCGCGCCGAAGTGCTTCGAGACTTGAAACCCGCACTCGTTTCGCCAACGGATCGCGTGCAGGAGCGTGACTCGTTTAGCATCAAATTCCACGTGTATCACCCTGCCTCCAGTGGTCGAGCGATTGCTAAAATCCGTGGCCATAGAGATCTACGCGAGGTCGTCGGCCCCGACAAAGCCGCTCTCATCGCCTCAACGTCCATCGACGGGTTGATCCGCCACATCATTCTTGCTCGTCTGTACGCTCAAGTCGATGGAGGGTCAAGCCTCAAGGTGACGTTCCTGCGGGACCGACTGTACGCCAAGCAGAAGGCGACACCAGTGACGAAAACGTTCGAGCGAGACTCGAGCGTTAACGCTACCAAGCTCATTGATGAGTCACGGCGTCATGGAACTGCAGGAGCGCGCGGCGTCAAGGTTCTCACGACGTCTAAAGTACTGGCCGGCTGCGGTCGCACACTGATTACTGTGTTTGACTTGGCCGAGCGATCTGGAGATCGGGGCGTCATGCTACGCGTCGATGCGTACGTGTGTGCAACCAGTGCGAGGCTTTCGCTGTTGCTAGAGGGAAGTGATTTGGCCCATGTTGTCGGTGACGACAAGGATCTGCTGCTTCCGATAGTCTACAAGGACGAAAGCTCTGATGAAATTCTGGATAGGGAAAAGACAAGGAGTCGGAAGCTGGCGATGATGGTGTTGGAATACCTGCACGTTGAGCAGCGAAGTGACGGGCGCGGGGATCGTCTAGTGCTATCAGACTATTCGTGCTCGCTGGTTGACACGACGAGCACGGAAAGCAACAGTAAGAGGCTATTCAAGACTGTTCGAGCTGTGGGGCACGACCAGGTCCTGTTGTCTGCTTTTCTTGCACAAGGCACTGAAGTATGGCTGCGTCTCGAGCTTTACGACCCCGCCAGCAGTTCAAGATGTTCGCTGAGACTATCGCAGCCTACGCTTCGTGCGATCCTGGGTCTGCCAGCTTCATTCGAGCTGATTCAGGTGCTCAATGGGTCGACTAGTATGGAAGGCGTCAACGTGATGACGCACATCTGCTCCTTCGTTCGCATTGAGAAAGTGTCTGCTGTCTCCGACGGAGTTGTCGATTGGGCTGCGAGCTTTACCATGACACTGGAGTTTGATGAACAGCGAGCTCAAGCGTGCATGACACAGCTTATTGGCCAAGACAACGCAAACGATAGAGCTACGTTGTGTTCGTGGTTCGGCGTGACGAGCGACAAGGGTGGCAACTACTTCTCTGTTCACCTCCGCCTTGTCAGCAGTGCCCAGACTGCACAAGGCGCCCAACCCGCGCTTGTATGTTCTGCTTTCGCACCGGCAGAGCTGTTGGTGGGTATGAGGGAATTCAAGTGGCCCGACGTCCCAGCAGATATTGTTGCTCTTGCCCCAACGACATCCGCGGATGATCAAGGGAGTTCATCGGATTACACAGCTTTCCTCGCAAAGGTTTGTGAACGTCTGATCATTGAAACTCCGCATGGAGCCGACGAGGAAGCAACCACAAGCGATGACGAAGCCAGCGCGGAAACAGCAGTGCACATCAAATCCATCGTCTTGAGTTTCTAAAGACTAGGTACAATACAGTTTTGATTCATTCACCTCCCGTGCCGACAGGCCCAAAGTCTGTCACTGCATTATGCCACGAATGCGTGGACAAGGAAACTTCGGTTATGGCAATCTGACGTCGCCGTACACTGCGCAATCGGCCAGACGAATTTAGCTGACCGTTGTTCACGCACGCAGCCCAACTTGCACGTGCTCAGCTTAGCTTAGTAGGTTAGTAGAGTAGTTGAGTCCCCTGGAATCCGTATTCATTCTCTCCGTACAATGCACCGCCGGATTTCAGACGCAGGAGCGCGCACGAGCTTGTCTGCAAGGATCGAGTCGTTCGTAGGGAACGACCTGGACGGACTTCACGCTGCAGCGATCGCCCATCAGAACTCAGAAGGACACATCCAGCTGGAATTCGCCTCGGAAGATGCCATCGACCTGCAGACGCCCCACTCGGACGCTTCTCAACACGAAATTCCTTCGTCCACCTCGCCGAAACCAAGCAAGAAATCCTCGATCGACGATGACAGGGACGAGTTGCTGCTGATGCCGCCGCTGATGAACATCTGCATCCTCATTGTAGGCACCCGCGGCGACGTTCAACCGTTCGTGGCGATTGCACTGCGGCTGCAAGAGGATGGACATCGCGTACGTCTGGCCACCCACGCGGTGTACAGAGATTTCGTCATGGGCCACGGCATCGAGTTCTACCCGCTGGGAGGGGACCCGAAAGAGCTCGCTGCGTATATGGTCAAGACGGGAGGGCACCTCATCCCGACGAAGATCAAGACGATCACTGAGCACGTGCCGCGCAACATGCAGATGATCAACGAGATCGTCTTTTCCACGTGGCCGGCGGTGTCCGAAGCAGACCCGGACGGCGGGGGTCCTGGGGTACCAGGTCAGCCATTTAGAGCTCAAGCCATTATCGCCAACCCCGTATCGTACGGACACGTGCACGTCGCCGAACGCCTTGGAGTCCCGCTCCACATCATGTTTCCTCAACCGTGGGTGCCCACGATGGCGTTCCCTCACCCGCTGTCCAATTTGGCGTACACTGGCAAATGGCAGAAGAGAAATTACCTGTCGTACAAACTCGTGGACATGATCATGTGGCAGGGAACGGAAGGGATCATCAATGAGTTCCGCACCGAAGTGCTGAAGCTGCATCCTATCCGCAACGGGGACTCCGGTTCTGAGTTACTCTTGGACCTGAACATTCCTCACTCCTTCATGTGGAGTCCCAAGCTCGTACCCAAGCCAGCAGATTGGGGGGATCTGTACAACGTCATCGGTACTGTCACCCTCAAGGGTCCTGAGTCCGTGTACTCTCCATCCCCAGAGCTCGAAGCATTTCTTGGCAACGATGGAGGGCCTATCTTCGTTGGATTCGGCTCCATGGTCCTAGCCGACCCGCTAGCAACCACCAAGATGATCATTGAAGCAGCCACACAAGCAAATGTGCGAGTGCTGATCCAGTCCAGCTGGAGCGACATGGCCGGCGACCTCGAAATCCCTAGCAACGTCTTCTTCATCGGCAATTGTCCGCACGACTGGCTCATGCCCCGAGTATCAGCTGTTGTTCACCATGGCGGAGCGGGAACTACCGCCGCTGGCCTACTCGCTGGGAAGCCCACGTTCATCGTCCCGTTCTTCGGAGACCAACCCTTCTGGGGGCAAGCCATCGTGAGCGCTCGGGTGGGTGTACCGCCTTGCCCTATTGCACAACTAACGACCGAGATACTGTGCAAGGCCTTCGTAGATCTCCAAAACTTAGAACTCCGGAAGCGAGCTGAAGTGCTGGGGGAACTCATGATGGAGGAAGATGGAGCGGAAGAGGCTGTCCGCAGCTTTTATCACCACATTCCGACGCAAGAAATGTGGTGCGACTTGGATCACCAACGCGTTGCCACCCAGTGGAGTGTCCAGGACCGGATCAAACTCTGCGACCGCTGTGCATTCGTCGTCAGGGAACGTCCGGAAAACGACAAGAAAAAGTTCGTGCGCTATCACTGCGTCGACTACTCCGCTCGTGGGCCCAGCTCTCTACTGAAGGGCGTCGCAACGGGAGCTATTGTGTTCGCACACGAGCTGACTGGCGGCTTGACGGGTGTCCTGCTTCAGCCAGCGAAAGGACTGATCTATGGCGGGGTTGTCGGTGCCGTCAAGGGTGCAGTGGCGGGTGTGTACTATTTGCTCTGGCGCCCGGTTCATGGAGCTGTGCTCTTTGCTGACCGCGCAGTCGCTGGGAGGAAGAACGCGAAACGAGAAGAAGGCCATCGCAAGATGAACAGTGTGTTCGACCGCCACATCATGGCGGCCTTCGGGGTGCAAAACGGTTTGGCCGACACGTTTTGCCTGGCGATGAGCCCAAATGCAGTCGACATCGTCATTTTCGCGCGCAGGAAAGACCGCAAGAAGATGCTGAGGCGGATGAAACACTCGGTCAGGCATCGGTACTGCGCCCGCTACGAGGCCATCGTTCATGCTCAGAATTTCGCATCGCAATACCCAGTCTGCGGTGAAGTCTCAAGTCCACGTAAACAGGCACTTCTTCGCGACGCAAACAGAAGCAGCAGCAATCTCTCGATATCGGATAGTGGCGACGCACGTATCCACAAGACGAGCGAGGCGTCCAGCTCTGAATTGGGCACAAAGCCAGTCATAACGCTTTATTCCGCCAGACTCACATCGGCTGGGACAGTCAAGATGGCACTAGGTATATCAAGCGATTCGTCGAATGCTGTGGACTTCTCCATCATCGCGGAATGGGAGGCGTACGCGTCGTACCAGCGCGGGAAAATCGAGTACGCCGACTCAATCACTCTAAACAACGTCAACAACAGAAGACCAAAGTCGCCGAAATCATCGAACTCCAAGATTCCAGTCATGAACGTGAGCCTTGCTGCTATCGGTACTTGGGACAACGGTGTGAAGCAGTTCGTCGCAATCGGCATCAAGCTCAAGGAGCAGGGCCATCGGGTTCGCGTTGCTGCTAACGAGAGGTTCCGAACAGAGATTATGGCCCGAGGTCTTGAATTCTACCCCCTTGCTGGGGCCCCCGACAGTATCCAAGACTTCGCAAAGTTTGTGTACGATAGTCAAAATGCAGCTCGAGCAGCGGTACCAGGACGCTTGGGTGCTGGTGCTATTCAAGCGTTCAAGGAGCTCATGTACTCGCTGTGGCCCGCTGCATACGGATCCGACCCGCATGGTAGCGGCACAAATATTTCTGGAGTGCACTTTCGGGCGGACGCGCTGTTGTGGCATCCGCTGCTGCTTGGTCATGTACACGTTGCCGAACGACTTGGTATTCCTCTCCAGTGTGCCAGCCTGGAACCCCTCTCGCCTACGTATTATTTCCCGCATCCACTGAGCTCCATCACAGGCCTCGACTCAACGATCATGACGCTGTGCCAAAGCAACTCGTTGACGTACGGCATCGTTGACACTACGATATGGCACGGCAGTATAGCAGAAGTTCTGACCCAGTTCCGTGCTTTCATCGGATTGAAGAAGCGCTGCGATGTGCCCGACC